ATTCAGTCCTTCCCAAGAGCACTTTTCTTCACCTTGGTCACTTTATACACCTTCCATGTAAACGATATGCGAGCCTCTGCCCTCATCTCACACCAAATCAGGAAGCAATTTTTCACCCAAAGGGGAGTGGAAATCTGGAAATCTCTCCCACCAAAACTCGGTGGATGCTGGATCCATTCACATTTTCAAGCTATTTGTTAGGTCGGGGTATCAAGGGATACTGATCAAGGGTGGATATTTGGAGTTGAGGTACAGATCAGGCCATGATCTAATAGAATGGCAGAACAGGCTCAAGGGGCTGAATGGCCTAGTCCTGTTTCTATGTTTCTAATGCCTCTGAAACCCTCATTAATGCCATTGTTACATGCTAACTGGTCTTTTCATACACATTCCTCACTGGTCTTGCCAGTTCTTTCATCATCCATAAACTCCAGCTAATTCAAAACTCTGTCGTCTGCATCCAAATTCCACGTCACACTTCACTGTCTCACAGCAGATCAATATCATGCTCCTCATGCTCACATATAAATCCTTTCAACCCCCAGCACCTCCCTATCTTGTGTGTTCTTCTACCCCACTCTTCTGCTTGGCCCCTCCACTCGGTTAACTTGGGCCTGTTGTTGACTCACATTGTCACTACATTTTAATTGTATTTATTTGTATTTCATTTAAATGAAAATGTTGATTTGGAAATGGTGAGTCTGTGTGTGGATTGGGACCTCGAGCTACTCAAGCTCACACAAATAGGTGGAAGTAAACTAACTTTATAAGCTTTACACAGCAGTATGCATGACGCAGAAAGATAGGATTACCGATCCAGGAAACAGAAAGCAGGTGTTTTCTTCTCAGTAGTTTCGTCTTTTCTTCCTGGGTCAGTTCCAACCTCCGGTCAGTTAGTGATCCATGGTTACGCACAGGAGTAAACAAGAATAAACTTCAAAATCATCTGGTTTGGTTCACAGATATCTTTTTCTTGTTTTTACTTCTTGCCTAACAATGACCATCTCATTTGAACGTTCTGCAAGGCCACCGAATTATCACATACAGGCACCATTTCTGTGACTTACTTAGAACATAACACAGGCTACCTGTTCTCTCATGTAACTATACCAGACAGAGCAAGGACAGTTGATAAAAGACAAAACCTATTTATTTTCAGCAAGTAAACAAATTACTCTTTACATTAGGAAAGCTTCACTTAAAGATACAGCAGTACAAATGTTCAGTAATTTTCCATTATTATTAAACAAATTCGTAGAAATACAACATACTGAACGACTTAACAGAGTTTGAACAATTTACTGTATTAAAATGACTGGACTTTTATGCTGGCAAAAAAGTATATAGCAACAGTATATATTCCCATAAGTCATCATCCTTATGTCAAAAACAACTTGCCCATGAAGCTTCAACCCCCCCCCCACACCATCCCACACCCTGATTAGTTAGCGCTATCACTTATAACACAGGGAGTTGTTATCCTACCAAGTGACACGTGTTTTCAGAAAGTCTAACTGATTGCTGCTGCATCATATGATCAAACATAGTTTTAATATAGCAAATAAGCATTAGTTGTGCTAATTAATATCAATATACCTAAAATACGCCATAAAGCTTTCAGTGTTAATTCACCATAGTTGCTTCCATAAAACAAGAAATTATATGCAAGAGATATTAGCTAATTTAAGCTTTAACATTACCTAAATTATGTATTTTAACTAAATGTGCTGTTTTTCAATCCATCCGGGATTTTAACTTGAGTCAAAAATCTGGAGTATTACATTTAAAGCATGAGTTGGTGTGAGGACAATAATGCCAATTGCCGCTTCTTCAGTTACTTATATATACAGTCAGTCGGTTTCTCAATGGAACAGGTATCACTCCTGTGTTAGTCTAGTTTTAAATCTGCGCTAACACAGTACAATGGACACATGGTGTTTGTGTGTTAGCTTGGGTCACTGTTAGAATTTACACTTTTTGTATAATGTTAGAATCATAATAGATGTTGCGAACGGGTTAACTTTTAAGTTAAGTGTGTTGTGGGCAGCTGGACTGAAACTCCCTGCACGTACACGAGATAACGGACTGTCTCAAGGACAGTGTGTTTGTGTGCTGAGGCACGTACACCCCATGAGATGTTCACGTGAACCCAGCATGATTTTGGCTGGTGACCTAATGTCCGCACCATGATTGGATGGACACAAGCTTAAGACACCGTGCCAGACCAAGATCGCGCGCCCGGGACAGCACCTACCGTGGATGGAAGACTGACACCTAGAAGGCAGAAGTAGACGACCACGAGGAGGAATTACGCGGTAGTATTGTTCTGTTAGTAAATTGATTGATTGTGCTTACTTGCCCACGCCCATCGGGAACTTGGACGGATCCTGGAGTTTAATAAACACTACTCTGGTTGCAAACAGTGGTTGTGTTTGATTGGAACTCAAAAAGAAGATTTTATTTTCCAACAATTTGGCGTAGTCGGCAGGATCGTTCAGGAAAGTGGGACAGATTAAGTACAATCAAGCCTTGACGAAGGTTTATGTTAAGTTTTAGTTAGTTACTTATAAATGTTTAGTTTTTAGTGATTCCCCTATAGGTGTTAAGTTAGTCCCATCTGAGGGAAGGAAACCCTCTATTACCTCTGGGTAAGGAGAGGGACCGGGACCGACAGTAATTGTGGCTGTGGTCGCTGGAAATAACCTGTTGGTTACGACTGAGCTGTGAAACTCGAGAGAAAGCTCATTAAGAGAGTTTGCCTCCTGGAAGTACCATCCTCCCTCCCAGGTCGTGTGACCTTGTACTATTTTTCTGACTTTGTATTATCTGTCTTTTTGTACTATCAGGTTGTGTAACCTTGTAGTATTTTTCTGATTTTGTATTATTTTTTTTGTAATTTTGTGATGCCTCATGTTCATTCGGTATCAAGGTGGGGACTGTTAGAATTTACACTTTTTGTATAATGTTAGAATCATAATAGATGTTGCGAACGGGTTAACTTTTAAGTTAAGTGTGTTGTGGGCAGCTGGACTGAAATTCCCTACACGTACACGAGATAACGGACTGTCTCAAGGACAGTGTGTTTGTGTGTGTGAGGCACGTACACCCCATGAGGTGTTCACGTGAACCCGGCATGATTTCGACCGGGTGATCTAATGTCCGCACCATGATTGGATGAATATTGGTATAAGAGTTCCGATAACTTTGTGTACGGGGCCGTCCCGGGTCGCGGAGACGAGGATACGGGAGATGGACCGTCCCGGGCCACGGAGACAAGGCTACAAGGATGAAAGACTAAGAGCTGGAAACACTAAGACTGAGGATATCAGATGGAAGATTGAAAGCTGTCGGCAAGAAGACTGAAAGCCGAAGAATCAAACTTGTGGGCTGGAAAGACACAGTGTTGAACTCTTGAACTCAAGATATCTATAGTGGTGTTATTCTGTTATAAGATCTGTTGATTGTACCGCCTTTGGTCTGACCCATCGGGATATTGGGGAATAACGAACAAATTATAATAAAACAGTCTGATATCTGGTTAGAGGAATTAGCGTTGTTTCCTTACAGATTTGGCTGATTTTATTTTCTAACATCACTCTCGCCTCTGAGTCAAAGGTTTGGGGTTCGAGTCTCACGTTGAGACTTGAACTCACATTGTCTAACCTGATTCTGCAATGGCATGCTGGGGAGGTGTTGCATTGTCGGAGGTGCCGTTCTTTGGGGTCAGCCGGCTGTCTGATACTTGTGGAAACCTATCACTGTGCTTAAGAGTATCCAAACCAAACTGAGAATTCCAGGCATCCCACCTACACCCGGAAATCCCAGAGATAGATTGTTGGATTGGAATGCGCTCTCTCTCTGGAGGGACACAGTCTGCTCACCTAATTCCGGAGTGTATTAGGCGCAAGTTGGCAAGAGCCAAGGCTCGGGGACTCCGTTGGGGTAACTGCTGGAGTCTAACCAGCTAAAACACACAGTTTGCCATTGATATTGCTGTCTGGCCAAACTTTCCCGCTGTTTGTCCAGCTAGGACCACCCTCCCCATTAACAGGAGCTGAGTGAGATGACTGCCTTCCCCTGGTGTCTGGTCTGCCCTTCCAGGTCCTACCGATGAGCTAATGATATCATCAGCAGTGGCCTGAAATACTGTGGATTCCGTCTGCCTCAGGAACTGGACTACTGAGACCAACACACAGGGTTGGTTCGATTCAGACATTCCGTTGCAAATATTATCATCCTGGAGCCAGTTCAGCTCCAAGGAGACCCCGGTTACCTCCCCCCAAAGAGGATAGTCACGGGTTGGTCATTCGACATCCGACAAGCGCAGGTTTGAGCCTCACTCGGTGGATGGCAGATACCAGGAACTCCCTGTGAGCTTCCCAGTGGGCAACACAGCTCACCATGAAATGTGTGAGAGCATTGCCACCATCTTCCTGTCCGCAGCTCAGGCACACGTCCCCTCCCATTGAGCAATGGTTCCCTAGTTGGAGATGTTAAACCAAGGTTTGGTCTGCCTGTTCAGGTGGATGTTAAAGATCCCGTGGCAAAAAAAGAAGGGAGTTTCTCCTGGTGTAGTGGCCAACAACCCCCACGAAAATATTAAATGGTCATTTCTTTCATGGTTATTTGTGAGACATTGCTGTGTGCAATTGTGCTGCTGCATTCCACTATTGTCGGGCGAGCCTTCTGCCACTTTGCTCCCACCCTCTGGAACTCCATCCTGGAGTCCCCTCACCTTGATCCCTCCCTTGTCTCCTTCAAGACCCATCTCAAGACCCTACTCTTCGACCGTGCTTTCAATCTCCCTGCTTCCCCCCTGCCCTCCGCCCTCCCTGATCCCGACCCTAGCTTGGATCTGTAACTCTGTCTGTCCAGTACCTTGAGATATCCTCCCGACGTGAAAGGCGCTTCACAAATGTAAGTTTGTTATTGTTGTTGCATTTACCTGCAAATATATCCATTTCACAGTAACTCCTATGAAGTGTTTTGAGACATCCATCCAACATGATTATGGTGCTGTATCAAATGCAAGGATTATTATATAAATTGTGCAGCTAATTAGTGAACAGCAAGGTTCCAACAAAGCCCACGAGCAATTGAATGATTGATTGCTATTGCACGGTATCTAACGTTCACCTGAAAAGGCAGACCGACTCTTGGTTTCTTCTGAAGGATGATATCAACAATGCATCAATTCGCTAATGCGGACTTTAGTGGCAACCTGGATTATGAGTTTATGTTCCAATGTGGGGCTTGAACATTCTGACCTAGAGATGAGCCAGGCTGGCAATATTCCAGTTCTGAGGCTATTAATACATTAACATTTCAGATTAGACATAGGATAAGATTGGACGTATTCCCACGTTGGGCATTATTTTGTAACTGACAGGACCGAGACTGGAATCCTCTTGTCCAGCTGATAAATGCTCTTCATAATTGGATGCTTTAATCTGGTTTTCAAACAAAATCTTAAATTAAGAACACAATATTGACAATTTTCACCACTAGAAGCTGGTCTTTGAGACAGACTTCAAACAGCAAACTGTGACTATCTTACCGTGAGCTGAAGTCTTCCTACTTAGAATCGTCAGAATCTATTAATATTTCAACTGTGAAAGCAAGAAAAGTCATTTACCACAGTGTCAGCAGTTATGAATGCAATTAATCCATTAATCAGATGTAACTTTCACATCTCCACACTGATGTCAAAGATAAAACTATGTTTTAAATTATGCATAAATATAATGGGTCAAGACACTAGATGAGTAGGGCTGAGTGACACCCTGTCAGCCTGGCTCAGTTGGTAGCACTCTTGAGTCAGACGGTTATTTAAATCCCCTATCAGGACTTGGAACTTGTTTATTCTGGGCTGACACTACAACATAGTGCTGGGAGAGTGCTGCACTGTTGGAGGTGCTGCACTGTTGAACCCCTTCAGTCAGGTTTCCGTGCTGCCCATAGCACAGAAACTGCCCTGGTCAAGGTCACCAATGATATCCTGACCATCTGTGACCAGGGCTCCCTCTGTCTCCTCGTCCTCCTCGACCGATCGGCAGCATTCGATACGGTCGACCACGCTATCCTACTCCATCGCTTGTCCTCCCACCTCAACCTTCAAGGCACTGTCCTTGAATGGTTTAGGTCGTACCTTTCTCACCGTCTTCACTTTGTCTCAACGAATGGCTTCTCCTCCACCCCCGTACTGTCTCATGTGGTGTCCCTCAGGGCTCTGTCCTCGGTCCCCTCCTCTTCACCCTCTATATGCTCCCCCTCGGTGACATCATCCGCAGACATGGAGTTAACTTCCACATGTATGCGGATGACACCCAACTCTACCTTTCCTCCTCTACTCTCAACTCCACGACCACCGATGTCCTGACAGCTGCCTGTCCGACATCGAGTCCTGGACGAGAGACAACTTTCTTCAGCTCAACATGCGAAAAACCGAGGCCCTCCTGATTGGCTCACGTCAGCGCCTCCGCACCTCAGGCGCTGACACCATCAGCATCCAAGGCTGCACTCTCCACCTCTCAAAGCCAGTCAGGAACCTCGGCGTTTTGTTCGACCCTGAGCTGTCCTTTCTCCCTCACATCCGCTCTACAACTGGCACCGCCTTCCATCACCTTCGGAACATCGCCAGATTACGGCACTACCTCACCCCTCACGCTGCTGAAACTCTGGTCCACGCCTTTGTCACCTCAAGGCTGGACTATGGGAACTCTCTCCTCGCCGGCCTTCCCGCCACCTCCCTCCACAAGCTGCAGGTCATTCAGAACTCTGCAGCTCGTGTACTGTCCCGCACCAGGCTTCGGGACCACATCACTCCCACCCTCGCTCGCCTCCACTGGCTCCCCATCCCCCAGAGGATTGATTACAAGATCCTCATCCTCACCTACAAGGCCATTCACGGCCTCGCTCCCTCCTACCTCTCCAACCTACTATCCCCCTACCTACCTGCCCGTACCCTCCGTTCCTCTGGCTCTGGTCTGCTCCACGTCCCCCGCCCCAACCGCCCTACCATCGGTGGTCGGGCCTTCAGCCTCTCAGCCCCCAGGCTCTGGAACTCCATCCCCCAGTGCCTTCGCCGCTTCCTCCCTTTCCTCCTTCAAGGCCGGTCTCAAAACCTTTCTCTTTGACCGTGCCTTCAGCTCACCTCTCGACTCTCTTCCCCCTCCTCGCTCCCTCCCTTCCCTCCCCTCACCCTGACCATTTCCCCCCTGCTCGGGTCATGACCCAACTGTGCAGCGCCTTGGGACGTCCTCCTGACGTGAAAGGCGCTTTATAAATGGAATCTTGTTGTTGTTGTTGTTGTTGGAGGTGCCATATTTTGGATGAGATCTTAAACTGAGATATCATCTGCCTATTCAGTTGAATGTAATGATCCCATGCTGCTATTTGAAAAAGAAGGGACTTTTCACCCAATTTGTGCAAATTGGTCCTGCCAATTTTATAAATAATAATAATAATCCTTGCATTTGATATAGCGCTTTTCACGTCTTCTCGACGTCTCAAAGCGCTTCACAGAATATGCTGTAAAGTGAATTGACCGTATATTTGTGGACGAAACACAGCAGTCAATTGCGCACAGCAGCGTCCACAAACAGTCGTGGATTGCAGTGACCAAATTATTATTGTTTTTTTGGAGGAATTTATTATCCCCGGAAAAGTGATCCACCAATTGACTAACAACTGGATTCCTACTCATTGCTGGTAAACAGAGGCGTGTGGAGTAAGGAAACTTGCCCAAGATTTTGCCCTGCCAGGAATCGAACCCAGGTGTCTTTCTTGTGAGGCGAGTGCTGTAACCACTGAGCTACAGGACTCCAGGCGTAGTTTGTCTGTAAAATGAGTCATTGGGTACAGTATATCCTGTGAAGCGCTTTGAGCCATCCACCCGACGTGAAATCTGTTTATCAAATGCAAGGATTATTATTATTATGAAGAATGAGTTGAGAATGCAGAAATTAGTTGAGAAGGTCACAGCAGGAACAGCGGGGATGAAATTAAAAGGCCGGAGCCAAACAGCACTATCTCTCGATCTGAACCAAGCGAAAAGCTTTAATCTTAGTTCAGTATAAGGGAACACAGCATTTATTTTCTTGGGATTTGGGGTTGGTTGAGTGGAGAGAATGGACAGGGAGATTGGGCTGCAGGATATCACTTCACAGAGGAACAAGCCTGTGGAGGGATTTAAAATTGAAGACAAGGATCTCGAATTCAATCATGTGGGAATGGGGAGCCAGTGGAGCTCAGCCTGGATGGAGCTGATAGCCTAGTGCAAGAGAGAATTGCAGAGCTCTGGATGGTCTGCAGCCCGTTTCGGTGGAGCTGGGGAGTGTGAGGTGAACAATATGAGATTCCGTCTGCCTATACGGGTAGTTAAAAGATTCCAAGGTACTATTCAAAAAAAGGGAGTTTCTCCTAGTGTCCTGGTCAACAATCCCCCAGATAAAATTGTTCGTCCAATTCATAACTTTTTATGGGACATTGCTAGGCACAACTTGGCTGCTGTGTTCTCCTGCAGTCATACAATACAATTCATACAATTTACAATAAATCCTGTAAAGCGTTTTGAGACATTTTGGTGATGCAACAAGGTGCTATATCAAATACAATAATAATCATTATTATTATTTAAAAAATGCCATACCAATGTCATCCATATCTTCGGTTTCTTTCCTGCTGCAATGACTGTCAGAATTCACAGGAACTAGAGAGATACTGGCACTGCTGCAACTTGGATTGTGTGGGTTGTCGTTGGGGAAATAGGCTCCAGAGTGTCCTTCCGAGACCTCTCTGGACTCCAGTTTTATTTGATGTTCGTTGGAGTTTTGAGTCTTCTTGTGCTTTTTTCTGAGACTCGGTGACACAGTGTCTTCATGATTCTTTCTTTTCTTACAGATTTCTTCAGGACTGCACTGAAACACAAGAGAGAAGGGTTACAAAAATCTGAGACACACAAAAACCTATCACCGTGTTTAAGAGTATAAAAACTGGAATGAGAGTTGCACATATGTATGTCACCAACACAAGAATTTTTTTGTGTATGTGGAATGAAATGACTTATGTGTGTCAACCTGGCTCAGTTGGTAACACTCTTGCCTCTGAATCAGAAGGTTGTGGGTTCAAGCCCTGTGTTGGGAGTTGGAACTCAAGATACACGAGTCCTGTAGCTCAGTGGTTAGAGCACTTGCATTGCAAGTGAGAGACCTGGGTTCAGTTACCAGCAGGTCAAAACTCTGGGAAGGTTGCCTTACTCCACACGCCTGATGATAATCGCTCAAGAAAAAAATTAATAAAATTGGTCACTTCAATCCACAACTGTTTGTGGGACATTGCTGTGCAAATTCGCTCCAGTGTTTTCCTACATGGTACAGGCATCATTTTACAGTAAATCCCATGAAACATTTTGAGACTTTCTCTTAACGTAAAAGACGCTATTTGAAATGTAAGGATTATTATTTCCTAATGCCGAAGAATATTGGGTGTAGGTTGGTGAGACCCAAGGCTTGGGGACCCAAGAGTGTGTGTTGGGATAACTGCTGGAAATTAACTAGTTAGAACCCCATAGCTTGGCAATGAGAGCAAAGGTAGGGCAAACTTCCCACTGCGCGTCCAGTTAGGGCCATTAGGGGCTTTGGTTTGTACCAACTGGAACCAAATGGGAAGAATCCCTAAAAACACATTGGCTGGTTGGTCATCAGCACTATCCCTGGAGTACGACTGATCCATCTTTTTCCAGTTCACCCTCTTTATTTCTAAGTGCATTTCTAAGTGTTTTATTTTAACCACTTTTGCTGGTATTGTGCTTCTTCTTCTCATTTGTTAATAATAACCTTTTAGCTATTAATATCTAATATCTTTCAGATATTAATTTCTTGAGTTTTGAGAAACATGTTAGTTACTTTTGTCCCAGAAACCTTGTGGTTTTAAATTACAATCTAAAATAACTTATCTTGGCTTTGATATATTTTCCTGAATTGATTTCCAATTACAGTGTAAGATTTGTACACAATCCTCTCACAGTTTTACCAATTTGAATTTTGTTTTTTGATTACAGCAAACTTCAAGCTCTGTTCCTGTGTGCTACCTTTCCCCACTCTTTTGTACAAACACCTGTAATAAATACTGTTATTATTTGATAGTTTATCATTTATTTTTGATTAACTTTCTCACTTTAGCTACAAACTAATAAGTACACTTATTACAAGATATTTAGCATTATTTACCACTCTTACCAGATATTTTCTATGTTACTCCTTTGAACATCTCTTCTTTCACCAGTATGGAATGACAAAAGGTTACTCAAGCCCTCGTGTTTATGCGTAAATATTATCAGAAGCAGGACTTTAGGAAGGATGTCAAGGCATTGGAGAGGGTGCAGAGGAGATTGACCAGGATGGTACCAGGAATGAGGGGCTTCAGTTATCAGGAGAGGCAGAGAAGTGAGGATTATTCTCCTTGGAGCAGAGAAGGTTAAGAGGAGACTTAATAGAAGTTTTCAAAATGATGAGGGGATTCGATCGGGTGAACAAGGAGTCACTATTCCCACTGGCGGGTGGGTCGGTAACCCCAGGACACCGATTTAAAATAGTTGTTAAAATAAACAGATGGGAGGGGAGGAGAAATGTTTTCACAGTGAGTTGTTGGGATCTGGAATGCATTGCCTGAAAGGCCGGTGGGAACCGATTCAATAACAGCTTTTAAGAGAGAATTCTATGATTCTGTGAATTTTATGGCTGTTAAACAGGAGAGAAGTCACTGAGCTTTATGTCCAGTATAAGTCTTACCAATGAGAATGAGTAATCGCTGTTTGTCTTAGCCACTGGAGACTGCACCTCACTGTCTGAGGCTTCCGCCAAGTTGATTGGAAAATCTGCAAAGGAAAAGCGTAAGCATTGTGTGAGCTGGTGCCTGTGTACAGTTATCAATGAGCTAAACATAAACAACAACAAGTTGCATTTATATGGAGCCCTTCACGTGACGCAGCGTCTCGCAGTGCTTAAAGGGGCCTGATGCTGAGCCAGGGGGAAGGAGGACAGTCGAAGGGGAAGGTCTTCAGTCGTGATCTAAAAGGAGGGGGCAAGGGGGAGGGATTGGGGCAGAGAGTTCCAAAGCCTTGGAGTGTAGTGGTTGAAACTGCGGCCGCCAATGGTGGAGCGAAGGGTACGAGGGACAAGCAGGAGCTCAGACCCAGCTGAGCAGAGGCAGCAGGTAATGGAGTGGGAAGAAAGTGGGTCAGAGAGGTCGGGAGGGGCCAGGGTGTGAAGGGATTTATAGATGGGTGTGTGGATCTTGAAATTAATCCATTCTGTGATGGGGAGTCAGTGGAGCTGAGTGAGGATTGGGGCGATGGGGGGACGGAGTTTAGTGTGGGTGAGAATACGGGCAGCGGAATTGTGAATCAGTTGTAGTTTGCGGGTAGTGGAGCTGGGGAGACCGGTGAGGACGGCATTGGAGTAGTCGAGGCAGGAGGTAATGAAGGAGGTCTTTGTTAATGTAAATGTTCATCTGTTCATCTGGATCACCGATAGAGTGGCTTCTACATAAGTTACTATGGGATCTTTCTGGGTTCCACTCTTTCTGTGGAGAGTTGCAGTTTTCTATCTGATAAACTTGACCAACGGGTTTCCCAGGCTGAGTGGCCGCTGCATGTTCCTATGACCCTATGGGCCGCCTGCCTCTGTGGACCCTTTCCGCTCCTAACTCCATGGCACAGCCAAAAAGGATAGCCAGACTGCCATAATTGAGACATGAGGAGCATAAAACAATCAAGAGGGGCGGAGCGGGGGAACCGCTGACGTCATAGATTAGTTTTCAGGTGTGTGCGCGCGCAACAAAAACAAAAAACCTCTGCGCTCCCCCCCCCCCAGGGCTCACATCAGAGCCCACTATGGTCTGTTGGGTTCGCTGCCCCAATCTACGGGATAATGCCACCCACCTGACCGCTCACTCCCGGTCCCCGCGTGCGCACTATGGCTGCCGCTTTGACCCCCGCCCTAACCGCCCTACCATCGGTGGTCAGGCCTTCAGCCTCTCAGCCCTGAGGCTCTGGAACTCTATCCCCCAGTGCCTTCGCCGCTTCCTCCCTCTCCTCCTTCAAGGCCGGTCTCAAAACCTTTCTCTTTGACTGAGCCTTTAGCTCCCCTCTCGACTCTCTTCCCCCTCCTCGCTCCCTCCCTTCCCTCCCCTCACCCTGACCATTTCCCCCCTCCTCGCTCCCTCCCTTCCCTCCCCTTACCCTGACCATTTCCCCCTCCTCGCTCCCTCCCTTCCCTCCCCTCACCCTGACCATTTCCCCCCTGCTCGGGTCCTGACCCAACTGTGCAGCGCCTTGGGACGTCCTCCTGACGTGAAAGGCGCTTTATAAATGGAATCTTGTTGTTGTTGTTGTTATAATAGTTGTCATTTTAGTAATAGTCATAGTAATTCCTGTGAATCTGTTTGCTTGCTGACATCTACATTATCCATTGCACTTAACTTGTATGTCATAAGTACTCACTTTTTATTTTCATTTGTAGATATTCAATGTCTTCTTGAGACATAGCATATTTTTTCTGGCATATTGCCATCTTATCCTTTACAATGTGTTCAGCTCCCTGTTGTGCAGTTTGCAGTGGCATAGGTCTACTTTGTGTGTTTGCCTCTGTGGAGATATGAGATTATTCTTAATTTAGGTTAAACTCCCCAACAACAAGAGTGAGATGCCAAGAAATCCTCACAAGATTTGACTGTCAATCAAGCTGTTTGATGAACGTGCAATTAGTTAGTAATTGTGGCAAGAATATTTGACATTATTTTGAAGAATTCAAATGTCGTTTTGCAATGCTGACAATCTTTCATGTTGTGGAGACACTCCCAGATGGTGGCACTTGTGGAGTTTGCTGCCTGAGCACAGGTTGGGTCTTGTCACACACAAAATCACACACAACAAAAGTAGGAATATAGAAAATTTGTTGAATTACTCACGTTTCTTGACAATTAATTTGCCCAAAAGGAATTGTGAATCTGATGAACACTCCTCAAAATCTATGGACAAGTCTTGCACAAACACCTTCGGTGGCTCCTCTCCCAGAAGCCCGCCGAGAGCCGAGGTGACAGTTCCCTGCATCTCTAGAACTTCGTGATCAGTTGCATACTTCAACATTTTCCCCACCAGTTCGGTGCTTGCTGTCACTCTCTCCAGCACATTCTCGGTTTTCTTCAGATTCTGCTCTAACATCTTCACTTTGCCCCCGTACAACTTCTCCAGCTCCCCCAGCTGCTTGCTCTCCTCCTCCTGGATCTTTTCAATGGCCAGGGAAACCTTTGCTTTGATCAGATCTTCCACCTTATATTTGCTGGTCCGCAGGTTGTCGACGAGCAGTTTCAGGTCCTCTCGGGTTTTGATGAATTTCTTCCCAATCTCCACTACACTGGACTTGGCCTCGACCAGCTCTCTCCTCCGTGAGATGGCCTCTTTTTTGATGCTCTGATAGGTGTGTTCCTTGTGCTCCAGCACCACACAGTTTAAGCAAAGGCAAATAGAGCAGGTAATGCAATAGGCACTGAAATGAAAGGGTAATTACTAGTAACTTCAGAGAACTGTGTCAAACACAGGTACTTTCTCCTATAACACTGCTTGAATTTAGCACCTTCTAAAAGTTTATTTTGGTTACTTTGTCCCCTAAATTAGGATCCTCCGCATCACCCCTCATTCCCTGAGTGGGGGTGGAGGGCTCAACCTCTGTACTTACATGTCCCCAGAAGAAAGGGGGGTGGGCAGGTTTTGTACCTACAAGTCCTCCGAGAGTGAGTGAGTGGGGACTGTGGGGGTCGAACTTTTTATCCACATTTCTCTGAATACCAGGCCATTAAGATACTGACACACACTCAGGGTGACAGGGTAAAAAGTTGGGCAAGTTTCCTTACTCCACACACCTCTATTTTCCTGCAATAAGCAGGAACCCAGTTGTTAGTCGATTGGCAATCGCTTTTCTGGGGGTAATAATCCCTTCAAAGAAACATAAATATAAAAAAAATCCACGACAGTTTGTGGGACACTTCTGTGCGTAATTGGCTGCCGCGTTTCAGCCACAAAATATTCAGTCAATTCACTTCACAGTATATTCTGTGAAGCGTTTTGAGACGTCTTGAAGATGTGATAAGGGTCAGTCTTTTTGAACTGAGCTGAGGAAACATTTCTTCACTCAAATGGTAGTGAATTTGTGGAATTCTCTACCCCGAAAGGTTGAACATATTCAAGACTGAGGTTGATAGATTTCTAAAGGATAGAGGGATTAAGGGATATGGGGATAAGGTGGGTAAACGGAATGAAGTTAGAAGATCAGCCACGATCGTATTAAATGCCAGGGCAGCTCGAGGGGCCGAATGGCCTACTCCTGCTCTTACGTTTTATGGTCTTATAGTCTTATAAGGTGCTGTATCAAACGCAAGGATTATTATTATTATTATAGAGTAAATGCTGGGACCGGTAAGATTTATTCATGATTCCCCTCATGCTGAATTGCTGATCTTAGTCGTGTTTCCGAGCTTGGAGAGGAAATGGTGTTTGTGTGGTTCTTCTCTTGGCCATCAGAGGGCACCCAGATACCAGGTGCCTTTCCCTCCAGTCTATGGGAAATTATATATTGCTTGGGAGAGCGGCAGTGCAATGGAGAAATAAGTAAAATCTTTAAGTACACAGTGAAGCTGTCTTTTGGAAGTGGCCTGGCCTTAACAGGCTATTTGAACATCACAGGCAACTGTATCAAATGCAAAGATTATTATTTTATTATTACCTGATTTGCTCTTCTTCCTCCTCATGATTTTTGCAAAAAAGGTTCTTGGGCCTTCTCAGAACCTTCAAGAAATCCGCGGAACTCAGCGTCTTCAGCTTCTCCACGGGTTCTGTTTGGTTGCGGTGATTTTTCAGGAGGATCTCGTGGTTCTGGAAGCAGTTGAAGCAGAAGAACTTGTCACACAGCAGACACAGGAAGTCAGCAAAGCTACTGGCTTTGCACACACCACAAACCAATTGCAAGCTCTGTCGGATTTCCTGCTGCTTCTCCAGTTTGCTCCGGATATTTGCCACCAGTATGTTATCCTTCAAGGAACCAACATCCCCCTCAGTGAGCTGGTCACATGTGGGACATTTAATGCATTGATCTTTACACTTTGTCTGCAAACATTCTTCACAGAAGGTGTGGAGGCATCTGAGCAATTTAGGTCTCGTCCCCTGCTGATTGCAGATTCCACACTGAAGATATTCCTCTGGTGATAGATTCTTCTCAAAATCAGCCTCCATGACCTGAGCAGCACGATTTGAAAAGACAAGAGTTAGTGTCGGTGTCGTGGCCCCACATAACAAATTGGTCATTCACTTCATAGGTGTTTGTGGGACTTTATTGTGCACAAAATTGACTTTTGTGTTTCCAACATATTACACATCCAGTCACTGCACTTCACAGAAATTCCCTTGACACATGTTGACATAATATGCTACTAGGTTAAACGCAAGGATTATTATTTTAAATAACTTAGATTGTTGTAGATGCCATAACATTCAAATACTTTCGAAACACTTCACAGTAATTATTGGCAAATGTAGTGACTGTTTTACTGAAGGGTCATGGTAGCCATTTTGTGCACAACAGAATCCTACAATTCCAGGTAGTTCCTCATACAGAGGGTGTGAAGATATGACGTGTTCTGTTTCAGAAGCTGTAAAGATGGAATTAATAGTAATGTTTAAAAGAGAGATCGACATACTTGGGTAGTGGAGGTATATCTAAAGCGTTTGCATTGGGATAAAAAGATTTGTCTAAATCTAATTCAACTTGATCTAGATCTGGGCTCACCATGCCACTTGATGCTCTGCATCAGCTTCTTCAACATCGTTGTTGGCTGAGCCTTCAGCGACCAAGAACCTCTGAAAATCCTTCTATCTACCCCTTGGTCTTGCCTTTTCTTATATCTTTAATAATAATAATTCTCAGATTTGATACAGCGCCTTATTACGTCATTGAGACGTCTCAAAGCACTTCACAGAATACATTGTAAAGTGATTTGACTGTATATTTGTGGGTGAAATGCAGCAGCCAATTGCGCACAGCAGTATCCCACAAACAGTCATGGATTGAGTGACCAAATTAATATTTTTTAACAATTTTTGTTGAGGAATTAAACACTAAACTGAAATATAAAACTATAAAACCAGGGGTCCCCCATTTTATAAGATCATGGCTGATCTGTACCTCAAGTCCAGTTACCCGCCCTTGCCCCATATCCCTTAATACCCTGACCTAACAAATAGCTATCCACTTTCATCTGGAAAATGTGAATGGATCCAGCATCCACAGCCTTTTTGGGGGAAGAGTAGGAATCCAGTTATTAGTCGATAGGCGGATCGCTTTTCCGGGAGTAATAATTCGGTCAATAAAATAAATACATAATAATTTGGTCACTCTGTTTGAGGGACACTCCTATGCGCAATTGGCTGGTGTGTTTTCCCACAAAATATACAGTCAATTCACTTTACAGTATATTCTGTGAAGCGCTTTGAGACGTCGAGAAGACGTGAAAAGCACTATATCAAATGCAATGATTATTATATCAACACACTCCTGATACTACACTCAACTTCAAGATTCTCTCACTCGTGTTCAAATCCCTTCCCTCCCTGGCCCCTCCCTCCCTCCCTCCCTCCCTCTCCAACCTCCTCACTCCCCAACCTACCACCCGGTGCATCCGCTCGACTTGGACAGGTTCCTGCTCGTCCCTCACACCCTCCGCCCCACCATCGGAGGTCGCGCTTTCAGCCACTACACCCCAAAACTCTGGAACCCTCTCCCTCAATCCCTCCGCCTTGCCCCCTCTCTCCCCTTTCTCAAATTGTGCCTAAAAACCCTCCTCTTTGACTGTGCTTACGGCCAACTCCCCCGTCCCCCACCTTCCTGGCTCAGAGTCAGGCGCCGCCACTGTTAAGCCTCTGAGATGCTGCCCTGTGTGGAGGGCGTTATACAAGTAGGAGTTGTTCTTGTTGTTGATTGAGGGATTTGTGGAGTCCTGCAGCTCAGTGGTTAGAGCACTCACTTTGCAAGTGAGAGACCTGAGTTCAATTCCCGGCAGAGGGCGAAACCTTGGGCAAGTTTCCTTACTCCACACAGAGCCTAATAATAATCCCTCCAAAACCAAAAAAATCATTTTCAATCTACGACTGTTTGTGGGACATTGCTGTGCGCAATTGGCTGCCGCGTTCGCCCACAAATATGCAGTCAATTCACTTTACAGTGTGTTCTGTGAAGCGCTTTGGGACGTCCTCCCGACATGAAAAGCGCTATATCAAATGCAAGCATTATTATTATTATTATTATTAACTCAGCAGTCGTATCCGTGATTTCTGTTTGGTGCTAACTTTATTGACCAGGCCATGGCATCTGTCTAACTTTAAACTTGGAGACGTTGATCAGCTTCACCTGAAACTTTACTTTTACCCAGGGGTTTAATGGCTGATAATCGGTAACTGACACACTCGACCACATTTAAAATTCCCCCAGATTCTCTCATTAAATCTTTGATGAAACAAAACTCGATTCAAACCCCAGAACATGTCACATTCAACGTACAAATGCAAGGATTATATTATTATTACTTACAGTCGGCCACGCACACTTACTTGCTGCTCTCGTCCTGTGCCCCTCAAGCTTCCTGTGACTCAACTTACAAATCCGGAATCGAAAGTGAACCTTAGCTTCCTGTAATAGGAGTATCTCTGAGCACAGTCGGCAAGGTCCTGATTGGCTCAAGAACCAAAGTCAATGCATCACTTTCTGACCATCCCACAATCTGAGCAAACCCAGAGACTGAGACCCGGCTCAGGAGCCAAAAACTCAGAGAGTTTCTGACATCACAAATTAATGAGATAATTTAGCACCTGGAGGGCAAGGCTGTGCTGCTAAACAAAGCCAAGGCCATGGTGTTTTTCTGCATTTCTGTAGCAGTTAGTATTTTATGTCAACTCTTTCTTTACTCTATCATCCATCCTAATCAGCTATCAAATGACCAACAATAGTTCCCTATTGTAACTAGTACCTATCGTATCTAGTACCTATCGTAACTAGTACTTAGTGTAACTAGTGTGTATCGTTTCAGCACCACAGAACTTATTTCCTCTTATCTCGATTGCAACCCCCCCCACCCCATCCAGTCCCTCCCCACCTATATCTGTGACTCTTCTGACACCCGTTCAGTCCCTCGACACCTCCCTACCCCACCAGGACTGCCTGCAGACCCTTCACTTCCACCTGGAACAGCGGTCCAACCCATCTCCATCCCCCACCACTCTGCTCCACCTGCCTGGACTTGTTCTCACATTGAACAACTTTTCCTTTAACTCCTCTCACTTCCTCCAAATAAAAGGTGTTGCTATGGGAACCCACATGGCTTTTTGTAGAATACATTGAACAATCTTTGTGCCAGTCCTACTCAGGTTTACTCCCTGACCTATTTTTGCGGTACATTGATGACTATGTTGGTGCTGCTTCCTGCTCTCGTTCTGAACTGGAAAACTTCATTAATTTTGCTTCCAACTTTCACCCTTCCCTGACCTTCACAAGGTCCATCTCTGACTCTTCCCTTCCTTGACTTCTCTATCTCCATCTCGGGGCATAGACTATCCACAGATATCTACTGCAAGCCCACCAACTCCCACAGCTACCCGGAATACACTTCTTCCCATCCCGGTTCCTGTAAGGACTCCATTCCCTTCTCCCAGTTTCTCAGCCTCCGCCACACCTGCCACCTTCTACACCAGAGCCTCTGAAATGTCTTCCTTTCTCGTGCGGATCCCTGACTGTCCAGCGCCTTGGAACGTACCCCTGATGTGAAATGTAATTTGTTGTTATTTTCCTCAGGCGAGGATTCCCTCCACCATGGTAGACAGGGACCTCAACCGTGTCCATCCTATTTCCTGCCCTCACCCTCTCCCTCCCTTCCCAGAATGGTGATAGGCACTTCCTAATCCTCACCTTTTGCCTCACCTGCCTCCACATTCAACAGATAATCCTCCACCATTTCCACCACCTCCAGAATGTGAAGATCTTGAAATTGATTCATTGGGAGATAGGGAGCCAGTGAAGCCTGGCAGAGGCATTTTGAAGTAGCGGGAATTTGTGGATGGTGGAGCTGGGGAGACCAGCTTGGAGGAATCACAGAATCATAGAATGTTACAGCACAGAAAGAGGCCATTCGGCCCATTGTGCCTGTGCCGGCTCTTTGGAAGAGCTGCCCAATCAGTCCCACTCTCCCGCTCTTTCCCCATATCCTTGCAAATTTTTCTTTTTCAACTACATGTCCAATTCCCTTTTGAAAGTTATTATTGAATCTGTTTCCCCACCTTTTAGGCCGTGTATTCCAGACCGTAACAACTTTCTGTGTAAAACAAAATCTCATCTCCCCTCTGGTTGTTTTGCCGAGTATCTTGAATCTATGTGACCTGGTTACCAACTCAACCGCCAGAGGAAACAGTTTTTCCCTATCTACTCTATCAAAACCCCTCATAATTTTGAACCCCTCTATTAAATCTCGCCTTAACCTTCTCTGCTCCAAGGAGAACAATCCCACCTTCTCTAGTCTCTCCACATGCCTAAAGTCCCTCATCCCTGTACCATCCTGGTAAATCTCCTCTTCACCCTCTCCAAGGCCTTGATATCCTTTCTAAAGTGTGTTGCCCAGAATTGGACACAATATTCCAGCTGAGGCCTAACCAGTGACTTATAAAGGTTTAGCAGAACTATACATCTCCTATGCTCTGTGGAACATGGGCTTCTTACAACAGCTTTACTGAGTCAAATACTTGGTACTGAACATCTGTTCTCTAAATTATGAGTGGTCATGTGTTGTATTACCAAGTCTTTGATGAGGCCGAAGTTTAACAAGGCTAAAACAAAACAAATTTATTCAGAGAAACAGTACAAAATTAAGAATGTTCTCAACACAATTTAATTGCAACATCCAATCAAAAGTATTCACAGCAGACTTTATTGTGACTTTGTTATGACTTTATTATTGACAGTGTCTGGAAGGGAATGCGTACTCTCTCCCTGGAGGGAAGTACTCTACTTCCCTAATTCTGGAGAATATTAGGGCCAGAAAGCGGAGAGAAGCGAGGTTGAGAAAGTACACAGATTGTGTTGGAGTATTGCTGGAGTTTAATCAGCTACAAATACAAAGCTTGCCACTGTTTGTCAGGTTACGACCAACCTACCCATTAGGCCTTTTCTTGCAGGGACGGCAAAAGCTAAGAGGGAAGAGACCTGATGATGAGTCAGACTGGCTGATCTGCCATCAGTAGTGCCTTGGAGCTTTGCGGACCTGTGATTGTAGCTTAATAGCGGCAGAGTTTGACACTGAGCCAAGAGAGAGGAAGGTCTTCGGGTGTCATCTGAAAACAGGCAAGGAGGGGACAGGGTGGAGGGATTGAGGCAGAGAGTTCCAGAGAATCAGGGCGTAGTGGCTGAAAGCATGGCCGCAAATGGTGGAGCGGACGGACAGGGACGTGCAGGAAGGCAGAACCAACTGAGTGAAGGGAAAGAAAAGGGAGAGGAAACTCTCAATGGCAACATTTTAAAAAGAGTAAGAGAGAGATACATAAGGATCAACATACAGAAATCATGGCAGGTGGGACATGCAGTTAGGAAAGATGTTAGGGTCATATAAAGGATTCAGAGAATATTTATTAGGATGATACCAGGGATGAGTGATTTGACTTATGAAAATATATTGGAGAAGCTATTTTCAGTGGAACAAAGAAGGCTGAGGGGATTGTGACCTGTTAAGAGATCGTTTAAAATTATTAGAGGTTTGGATGGAATTAAAAGTGTCCGGAGGCCACTTGCGTGAAGGGCCCTATTAAAGGTAAGTTATTGTTGATGATAGGAAGGAATTATTTCCACTGCTTGGTGAAGTGTCCACAGGGCATCTATAAAATAATTAGCAAGGAAGTAAAGCATGAGATTAAGAGCAATCTTTTTTACATACAGAGAATTGTTAGGATGTGGAATGCATTTTTGGGGTGTAGTAATTGAAGCAGAATCATTAATAATAATCCTTGTATTCTGTATACAACAACTTTTATTTATATAATGTCCTTCATGTGGGGGAGCGTCTGAGTGCTTAACGGTATTGATAATAATAATCCTTACATAGCACCTTATCACGTCGTTGAGACGTCTCAAAGTGCTTCACAGAATAAACTGTAAAGTGTAGTGGCTGTATTTTGTGGGCAATAAATACGCAGTATGGAGCTTGACACCGAGCTGGGGAGAGGTGACCATAGACACGATCGAAAACAAAGGAAGCCTTTTACTTAGGGAGGACTTCCAAAAGGGCTTCACAGGATTTTACCGGGAGAAACTATGCAGCGGATGTATATTAGAGGGTATAGCAAAAGTTCAGGGAATTGGAATTAGGATGGAGAGCTTCTGGAGAGAACCCCACAACATATTAGGCTGAATGGCCAGCCACCATCTCATACATGCATATGGTTCTATGGAAAAATTGCACAAAAGATGTGTCTGACTGTGAAGAAAGTAAGAAGATTTATAAATGGGTACCTAGTTTGCTTTCTACCATCCTGGTGTATTACAGTAATGGAGATGTTGATAGCAATTCATTCTGTATGGATTAGTCTGCCACACAATGGAAAGCTTTGGGAACTTCAGGTCCAAGGTTGACCGGTTCTTCCAAGCATACTACACTGACTATTTGTCACATTACTCATATTCTTATTATTAGAATAATAATCCATATTATTATTATTGAGTTCAATTCCAGGCGAAACCTTGGGCAAGTTTCCTTACTCCACACAGAGCCTAATAATAATCCCTCCAAAACCAAAAACAATAATAAATTGGTCATTTTCAATCTACGACTGTTTGTGGGACATTGCTGTGCGCAATTGGCTGCCGCGTTCGCCCACAAATATACAGTCAATTCACTTTACAGTGTGTTCTGTGAAGCGCTTTGGGACGTCCTCCCGACATTAAAAGCGCTATATCAAATGCAAGGATTATTATTATTATTATATTATAGTTATTATTATTATTATATTCTGTATCCCAAAATATTATTTTTTAAATAACTCTGTCTAATTTGCATCTGAATAAATCAACACTTTCTGCTTCCTTCTTCTCCCTCGGGACCCTGTTCCATAGATGTACCACTTGTTCCCTGAAATAATGTTTCCACAGATTTGTTTTGAATTTACCCCCTTCAATCGCAGACCCTGTCCTCTGGTTCTACTTGAGTACAAGATAAAACAGCTTCTCATGGTCTACAATACATTATCTAATCCCTTTAGAATTTGAAAAACAGCAATCACATCAGCTTCTCTTTTCCTGCAAGTTAAAAGTGCAGAATACGCTTTGTTTTGTTGCTTGTCCCACACTCTTTGAGTCTGCAGGTGCAAATCCAAGAATATCATTTGACATTCACTACCAGAATTCAACACCAACTCAAGTAGGAATATTTAAAATTTCCAAAGTAATTGCATCCATTCCAACTTGTTTTACAGAACCGAAACATTTATTGCAGCTTGAGCGATAACCAGCTTATCTGGGTCTTAGTGTCACTGGGCGCCAGGAGTTCAGCACTGGTCTATTTAACATTCTGTGTTGCATTCCACCACATGCTATCAAGCTTTCTGTCCTTGAGGGATTTTACACGTAAAAATGCTCGGATTTTCCGGATAGTGAGCTCTGGTCTAGAGAGTACGGTGTTGCCATTCACATAGAGGAGTTTCTGCACACCACATCTAGGATCTTCTTGATGTGCAGATTTAATCTTCTCCAGGCTGATTTCCTGCTTAGCAAGTTGGACTAATATGGGATTTGATATTATCTTCTGATCAAGTAAAGGCTGTAGAGACAGCCTGCACTCAAACTGGGAGAGAGAAAACTGAGCATTGCACGTCTGCTCTGGAGAAGGGTTAAGAACTGAGTACAGTTCCTGCAATATCTTCACTTCTTCCAGAGAATTCTTGGCAACGAAATCTTTCCTCACACATGTAAATACCAAATGGTGCAGGGAGTAGCTCTTAACAGCTCGTCTGGAAATCATATTTTTCGCCAGCCAAAGTGTATCTAAGAATCCAACAATACATTCATTAAACTGATCCTTCATAGAGAGTTTTTCCCAGACTCTGTGAATAACAGAGCAGTCAAACCTCCAAATGTTGTGTCCGATCAACACAGGCCTGGAGACAGACTGAAGGAATTTGAGGAAAGCAGCCATTGCTTCTTGAAGGCTGGAGGTTGGTTGAGGTTTTCCTCTCAGAAACAAGGTTCCATCCACAACTCGCATTCCATTGACTGAAGCACATTCTGACATGGGCAGGATATATTTGTCAAACAGCTTCTCACCACTTACTGCAGATAGCTGAACAATCTCACAGGATTGGTCTGCAAAATAGATATTGTGTCAATTATTATTGAGTACATCTGACCATGAATTACACAATGCATTATTACATGTAGTGGTGTGTGACTGTGTGTGTGTCTAGGGATGGGTTTTGAACATTAATAATCCTTGTATTTTGAAATAACGCTTTTCACATCTTCGAGACATCTCAAAGCGCTTCACAGAATATTCAGTAAAGTGAATGGAATAATAATAATAATAATAATCCTTGCATTTGATATAGCGCTTTTCACGTCGGGAGGACGTCCCAAAGCGCTTCACAGAACACACTGTAAAGTGAATTGACTGTATATTTGTGGGCGAACGCGGCAGCCAATTGCGCACAGCAATGTCCCACAAACAGTCGTAGATTGAAAATGACCAATTTATTATTGTTTTGGGTTTTGGAGGGATTATTATTAGGCTCTGTGTGGAGTAAGGAAACTTGCCCAAGGTTTCGCCCTCTGCCGGGAATTGAACTCAGGTCTCTCACTTGCAAAGCGAGTGCTCTAACCACTGAGCTACAGGACTCCACAATGTATGTTTGTGGGTGAAACGCGGCAGTCAATTGCACACAGCAGTGCCCCACAAACGGCTGTTTTTCTGACTGGAGGGAAGTGCAGTGGTATTGGTATTGGGACCACTGCTGGTTTTGATCTATATAAATGACCCGGACTTGGGTACAGGGAGGACAATTTCCAAACTTACCGATGATACTAAGATAGGAAAACACGTGGCAGATGAAATTTAATGCGAAGAAATGTGAAGTGATGCATTTTGTGATGAAGAATGAGGAGAGGCAATATAAGCTGATGGTACAATCTTAAGGAGGTGAAGGGACAGAGAGACCTGGGGGTCATATAGTAAATGTTTGAAGGTGGCCGGACAGGCAGATAACACTGTTGAAAAAAGCATCCGGGATACTGGGCTTTATAAATAGGGGCATAGAATACACAAGTCAGGAAGTTATGGTGAACCTTTATATAAAACACTGGTTAGGCCTCAGCGAGAGACTGTGTTCAGTTCTGGGCCCCACACTTTAGGAAGGATGTCAAGGCATTGGAGAGGGAGCAGAGGGGATTAACCAGAATGGTACCAGGAATGAGGGGCTTCAGTTATCAGGAGAGGCAGAGAAGTGAGGATTATTCTCCTTGGAGCAGAGAAGGTTAAGAGGAGACTTAATAGAAGTTTTCAAAATGATGAGGGGATTCGATAGGGTGAACAGGAGAAACTATTCCCACTGGCGGTGGGTCGGTAACCCCAGGACACCGATTTAAAATAGTTGTTAAAGAAACAGAGGGGAGGGGAGGAGAAATGTTTTCACACAGCGAGTTGTTGGGATCTGAAATGCATTGCCTGAAAGGCCGGTGGGAACCGATTCAATAACAGCTTTTAAGAGAGAAGGAGATAATTATTTGGGGACAAGTTTGCAGGGCTATGGGGAGAGAATGGGACTAATTTGGACAGCTCTGTCAAAGAGCCATCAGAGACACGATGGGCTGAATGGCCTCTTTCTGTGCTGTATAACTCTATGATTCTATGAAACTCACTATTTTGATGTGAAACTTTTGGGATCTCCCTTCTTCTTAGTATTTAAATTATTGAGATTTCTCATACTACAAATGGGATGGACCTGCAATGTTTGTAGTGGTAGATTACAAAAAAGTCAAAAGCATTTTGACTAAAGTGTAACAACTTTGAAAAAGTGTAACAACATATAAAATATTCATGAACAACAACAACAATCCATTTATAGAGCGCCTTTCACGTCGGGAGGATGTCCCAAGGCGCTGTACAGTTGGGTCAGGACCTGAGCAGGGGGGAAATGGTCAGGGTGAGGGGAGGGAAGGGAGGGAGCGAGGAGGGGGGAAATGGTCAGGGTGAGGGGAGGGAAGGGAGGGAGCGAGGAGAGGGGAAATGGTCAGGGTGAGGGGAGGGAAGGGAGGGAGCGAGGAGGGGGTAGAGAGTCGAGAGGGGAGCTGAAGGCTCAGTCAAAGAGAAAGAGGCTGAGTAATGTGCCAAGTGAGTGCTCGTTTTATCTTGAATGATAAAAGGGCACAAAGGGTCCACCTTCAAATTATACAGTTACTACACTTTAACTAAATTCTGTGGAACCCTTTGAGACATCCTCACAACTTGGAAGCCGCTATGACAAAATTGAAAAATTATTATTATTTATTATTACAAGATTATTACCCAGGCCTGTGGTCTCCAGGTCAAAAAACACAAGTGTCTCTGCAGGCTCCACCTGGCACACATCGGGCCCCGCACTGGTCTCTGTCTCAGAAGCCAGTGTATCCTCAAAACAACAACAAATTACATTTATATAATGCCTTTCACATCAGGAGCAGAGACATGATTCACTTGCTAAAAAAAAAGCTGTTTTATCTTGTTCTGAACTGTAGTAGAACAAGAGGATGTGATTGAATGGGGGTAAACTCAGAACAAATCTGCAGAAACACTACCTCTGTGAGCAAGTTGTAAACTTATGAACAGGCTCCCTAGGGAGATAACAGAAACAGAAAATGTTGTTTGTTTCAAGACCAAATTAGATTTTTGCTGGAAAATAATATCTCGGGATACAGTATATAGTTAGAATAATAATAATAATAATAATAATATAATAATAATAATAATAATAATAAAATAATAATAATAATAATAATAATAATAATAATAATAATAATAATAATATAATAATATATATAGAAACATAGAAACAGGAGCAGGCCATTCAGCCCCTCAAGCCTGTTCCAGCATTTTATAATATCACGGCTGATCTGTACCTCAAGTCCATTTACCCGCCCTCGCCCCATATCCCTGAATTCCCTGACCTAACATATAGCTTTCCACGCGTGTTACCATTTTCAAGGACTCATACACTTGCAATCCTAAATCCTTTTGCTTCTTCCAAACTACTGGCATTCAATATAAATTCCATTCAGTTTTTTTTTCTGTCAGTGAATTATCTCACATTTTGCTTTATTAACGTAATTTGCCAATGACAGCCCTTTGCTGTAACCGATTTAAGTCCTGTTACAGTCTTTTGGCATCTTTTTTTTGGTCAGTCAGGTGTCTGATACATATGGAAATCCATCATTGTGCTTAAGACTATCCAAACCAAGCTGAGTTTTCCATGCATCCCACCTACACACGGAAATACTAGAGATACATTGTTGGAATGGAATGCTCACTCTCCCCTCGGAGGACCCAGCCTGCTTACCTAAATCCGGAAAGTATTAGGCACAGGTTGGCAAGAGCCAAGGCTTGAGGACCCCAGAGTGTGTGTTGGGGTGACTGCTGGAGTCTAACCAACTAAAACAGCATAGCTTGCCATTGATATCGCAGGTGGATGGCAGGTACCAGGAACTGCCTGTGAGCTTCCCGGTGGGCAACACAGCTCAGCATGAAATGCGTGAGAGCATTGCCACCATCTTCCTGTCCGCAGCTCAGGTCGCTAGGGTTTGAGGAGGTCACAGAGATGGAGTTGTGACCATGGAGGGATTTAAAAATGGGATCAAGGAGAGCGAGCAGTGGGTGAGAGCACAGAATTGGGCTTTAAAGGACAGTTGGGAATCAAACACAGATTCTGGAGGTGGAGTTTGTATTCAGGCAAGTTGATGCTATCAGCGCCTGAGGTGAGAAGGTGCTGACAGGAGCCATGCGGGAGGGCTTCTCCGTTGTCGGCGTTCTCAACTGGAGAAAGTTAGAACTCATCCAGGGTAGGTGGATGGATGGATTGATTGAGGGTCCTGCATGAAAATAATGGTGAAGCTCTCCCTCTCAGCCTGACAGACCCTCCACTCAGGGAAACCTGTGTAGAGTAAAACATTGGGAATGAACTTACCCTGGAATCCTCCAATTCACCTTCAGTGTCTGAAGAAATTATTCTAAAACTCCCCTCTATTGAACATAACACAAAGCGTTAGTCTGAAGTGGAGGCATTGGGATTGTTTATGTGTTGGAGATATTTAGTTGAATACGTTGGAGAGGATCACACTTTGAAGCATCCCTCTGTCTACAACCAATGTATTATTGGCCGAATTAATCCCCTCAATTGCTTCTAATATGTCTTAGTTATAATCCTGCATTTGATATTTCATCCAGTACATTGAAGGTCTCAAATAATGATTGTAGTTGTTCTAATTAATAGTAAAATAATAACTTTAGACTGAAATGGTACTAAGACCTGCAATGCATCCTGAGAGTGAAGCATCACGTGCTGCTTGCGGTTCCCAGTGTGTACAACAGCCCCGACCAGGACAGGAGGGTGGGCGTCTATGGGAACACATTATGTGCAAATGCATCTTCCTTCGCTGTTTCATTATTTAATGCCCATCTCATTTATGCTGCACCTGAACTGGGAACGCTGAAGGGGGCTGTGTAGAGAAAGCTTTACTCTGTATTTAACCTTTTAAGATAATTGGCAAAAGAACCAGAGGGGAGATGAGAATTTATTTTACACAGAGCGTTGTTACGGTCTGGAAAGCATGGCCTGAAAGGGTGGAAACAGATTCAATAACAACTTTCAAATGGGAATTAGATAGGAACTTGAAAAGGAAACATTTGCAAGGATATGGGGAAACAACGGGGGAGTGGGACTGGCTGGGTAGCTCTTCCAAAGGCACGATGGGCCGAATGGCCTCCTTCTGTGCTGTGATATTCTATGATTCTATCAAACCTGTACTAAAGACAACTGACCTGAAAATAGTGTGGAGTCTTCCAAGTTGCTATCATTAAAATCATTGGATGAATCGTTCATCTCACTGAACACTGCATCTGTTCCTGAGGGAAGGTCAAGGTAACAGCCAGTCTGGCATGTTGCACCTGCTGTTCCTCTCGTGCTGTAATTGTGCTCAGATAACCAACATAATCGTTTCACATTCGATGTTTTCTCATCTTCTACTGACCATTTCCTTTTGTCCCTGGCATTATCAGGACGCTAAGAGACAAAGTAAAATGAGGTATAAAATAGGGCCATTGAAGGTGGGGTCGGGTGAGCATATAACAAATGATGCGCAGAGTATTAAATAAGTTTTGCCTCAATTTTGCAAAGGAGGAAAAGGGTAACTCATCTGGTCTGGATACAGAACTCAATGGTGTTGCAGAGGCAAGTTGTGCCAATATTCACATCACTAACAGCATGTTGCCAAACAACTGTGCAAACTTAAGGTAAACAAATCTCAGGGGCCAGATAAATTACAGTGATCGAGAGGATACAGAGGAGGCAACCAGAATGGTCGAGGGGATGGAGGGACTGGACAATGAGAAGCGATTAGGTAAAGTGGGCATGTTCACACTGGACAAGAGAAGGTTGAGGAGTGATATGATTGAGGTCCTTAAGACTCTGAAGGGAATAGATAATGTAGACCATGAGAAGCTGCATTATCTTTGTACTGAACAGTAGAACCAGAGGACACAGCCTGCGATTGAAGGGGGTAAATTCAGAACAAATCTGCAGATACACTACTTCAGTGAGTGAGTAGTAAACTTATGGAGCAGGCTCCCTAGGGAGGCGGTGGAAGCAGATTCTTTCAAGGACAAATTAGATAGATTTACCTCTCTGGCTCAGGGAGGAAAGGAAAGGAAGGTGAGGGCAAAATGAGCCACAATGCGGGTCAAGTGGGCAGCACCAAGAACTAAAAAATGATTCAAATAATTTACATGATTTACATGTGTCTAGTTCATATAATTAATTTACGACCTGTTTACTACCCTGAAAATAGGTGACAATTTATTCTCACTTTTAACTGATACACTACTCATATTTGCTGAAATGCAACAAGAAAACAAACCCTCTATTAATTTGAATTCTGATGACAGTAATCTGATCAATCAGACTCTAGCTGCTGCCCAGACAAGAAAGCAGGGAAATTAATCCTTTACCCAGCCGTCTTTCTTCTCAACGTGTGGAAACTTGAGATCTCCGACTCCCTCAGGCTGCTCTGAAAGCAGAAATATTAGAGTGAAACTTATTAAATTTCCGCCTGAAATGTTGGTGGAAACAGATTCAATAACAACTTTCAAAAGGGAATTGAATAAGTACTTGGAAAAGGATATATTTGTCAGGATTTGGGGAAAGAGCAGGGGAGTGGGGCTGATAGGTTGGCTCTCCCAAAGAGCCACGATGGGCTGAATGGCCTCCTTCTGTGCCAAGATATTCTATCTTTCTATTCTATGGAATAAAATCTGTGGAGTGCACGGAATGTTGAGTAAACACAGCAGTGTTTGGGTATGATTACAATATGGTCAAGATGGTTTCGCCCACAAATGTGCAATATGGGAGGTACAATATGGTTTCGTCCACAAATATACAGTCAATTCACTTTACAGTCTATTCTGTGAAGCGCTTTGAAACGTTGTGAAGACGTGAAAAGCACTATATCAAATGCAAGGATTATTATTATTATTTTTATAAGAAATTCTCTGAGGTAAGAAAATCCCAAGTGACAAGGGAATATTTGTCACTATTTGTCACCTGGTCACTAATGACATTCAAGCACATTTCCTGTTCACTGGTGGTGTTGTGTGAAAGACTCCTTCGCAAACTGAGAGCATTAAGAGCAGAACATGGACATAGATTCAGAATTGGCTGACGGGAAAGAAGCAGAGAGTGTTTGGTAGTGTGGCTAAGTCACTTTTAAGTGGGGTGTTTCAGGTGTTTGTGCTGGAACCCCTCCTGTTTCTTGTGTATATTGAACTGGATTTGAAGGCAATATAACATAGTTAAATTCACTGATTACACCAAATTGAAAGGAATTATGCAATAAAGGAAGGAACACCACAACATTATATTTGTATAGCAAGGTCTTAAAGGAGAGCTTGATAGAGTACACACATGGGCTGATAACTGGCAAATTAAGTTTAACATGAATGAATGCAAAGTATTACATATAGGAAGTAAAAAAGGGAAACACATGTGAAATACATTTTACATTTATACAGCGCCTTTCACCCTGATAAGACGTCTGAAAATGCTTCACTGTTGGTTGGGCCCCCAACCAGGGAGTTGGAGCTGAAGAAGGTGGGGAGGGTAAAGATGTCCGAAAGCCCAGTCAAGGAGGTAAGATTTGAGGAAACTGCCTTGAAATGTGGGGAGTAAAGGACTGAGTTGGAGAGACTCTGGGATTGAGTCCAGAGAGTGGGAGCAGAATGGGTGAAATGGAGTTATTACAGTCTGGAATGCATGGCCTGAAAGGTTAGTGGAAGCAGATTCGATAATAGCTTTCAAAAGGGAATTAGATAGGTACTTGAAAAGTAAAAATTTTCATGGCTCGGGGGTAAGAACGGTGGAGTGGGACTAGGTGGTGGCTCTTTCAAAGAGCCGGCACAGGCACGATGGGCCGAAAGACCTCCTTCTGTGCTGTAAGATTCTATCTATGTAATTGCTGTCAAGTGTACTGACTACTCATAGGCAAAATGCAGTTAATTAGTATGAGTACCTTATAGAGGTGCATAATCTTTTAAACTTGGGATTGAAAAAATTAGGATATACCAAGACAGTAGAAAAAGAGGACATAGCTTTGGAATTGTAAAGGGCAACTTCAGGACAGATACTAGGAAGATTTTCTTTACTTAAATGATAATTAACGACTGGAACAGAATGCCAAGAATCCTTGAAGCCAGGATGATGGATTCATTTAAAAGCAGCTTAATGGTGTGATGGGTAGGCTGGGTGTTCACAACCTTCTGACCTAGAGGTGAGAGTGTCACCAACTAAGCCAGGCTCACAATGGTCGAGTTCTGAGGCTTTTGACATATTACATTTCAAGAGTGGAGGTCGGATAAGATTGGGTCCTGAGCCCCATATTATGCAGGCAGTTTATTCTGCATCCTAAATGACTTGGTCTGGAATCCTTTTGTCCATCTGATGAAGGCTATTTGTATCTGAATGATTTAATCTCAGATCACACCCTGAAATAGTAAAATAATAAGCCTTACATTTTATTTTAGTACCTTTCATATCTTATGATCCGATGATCCTCTAACACACTGCAAATCCATTCCAAGAAGGTTTTAATTTTATTCCCCCAAATAAAATGTGGTCACTCATTTGTGGGATACTGGTGTGTGTAAACTGGCTGCCTCGTTTCGCTCACAAAATGTAGTCAAACCACTTTACAGTATAGCCTGTGAAGCGCTTTGAGACGTCTTGCAACATGATAAGGCGCTATATTAAATACCAGTATTATAGTGTTATTATAAGGCTTATTTGCCCCACTGCACCATCAAATGCCTGACATTTACCATTTTTGAGGACGATCCCAAATACATTTTGAGGTTCGAATGGACATTCCTGAAATCCCATTACCAAGTTTCCTGTGGACACATGGGCTTCCTTGGCTTCCCGCAGCACGGACAGTGCTGATATAGCCTCTCCATGCATCTCCATCACTTCCTGGTCCGTGCCATAACACAGCATGTTCTCCACCAGCCCTTGTCCTGCGCTCATTCTTTGCAGTAGCTTTGACACGTTGTTCAGACTCTCCAGCAAGTGCCCTTGCTCTGCCTCGTGCAGGACTTCCAGCTCACTCAGGAGTCTGTTGCCTTCCTCATTGATCTCTTCGATAGCTTTGGCACTTCTGCTTTTAATGAGTTCCTCAATGTTGTTCTTCCTGCAATCCAGTTTCCCCCTCAGAGATTTCAATTCACTACAGATTTCATTGAATTTGTCGCCTTGTTTCTGGGCAGTGACCATCATACCTTTCATCTTTTTCTTCTTCAGAGCAGCTTCCTGTTCAACACTGTGGAGACAGTGGAGTGGGGGTTTGTGGTGGAGCAGCAAACAACTGTGGCAGATGTTCACTGAGCAGGTTACACAGTAAAACCTGTAATGAAATAGGAAAAAAGTACTAGTGTCCTCTGCTTAAATTTTACTGACATCTGTCACAGACACTTGAGACGGACCTTGAAGGAAGCGAAGTGAGGGTTGAGGCAACGGGACTGGATGCAATTCCAGAGAATGGGGACAAGTAGTTTGAAAGCCCAACAGTTGATGGTCAGGTAGACAGAGGACATGAACCAGCCCAGTGCCTACTGCGCGGAAGGAGTGGGCCAGTTAGTAGGGTTTAAGGAAGTCAGAGGTAGAGTGGGTCAGGACTGTGGAGAGATTTAAAAGTGAGGACGAGGATCTTGAACTCAATCCTCCACAGGGATCGGGAGCCAGTGGAGCTGGTGAGGATGGGGTGATAGGCCCTAGGAGTCTGCTTCTCCGCAGAGATTTAACAGCTTTGGCAAATCAGCTTTCAGCCTCTGTCAAAAAATGGTGTCAAGAAACCTTCAAAAAAGGAAGAAGTGAAATTACCTTTAAACACATTTGAAAGGGAAGATGAGGACATGGCAATATCATGGCAGGGGAATCAGGTTACCTGATGCACTGCTCTTCATGTGTAAGACAAATGGGTGGATTCTCTTTTCTTGGAAAGGTCTTCTGCGTTTAGTGAACTCAACGCTTCCAGGGTCTCCAACATATGTCTATGCCTCTTCGTCACTATCTCATGGATGCTGAAGCACCTCATACACAAAAACTTCTCACACTCAAAGCACAAGGAAGAAGCTGGTTTCCCTTCACCGCAGGCCTGGCACAGATCACATTGCACGTCCACCTCCGTCGTAATCCTATTCCGCAGGTTAGCCTTGCTCAGAAATCTTGCAACTAGCACATTGTCCTGCAGCTCAGAGGCAGTCATGCCTGCTGGTGTGCTGCAGACAGGGCAGGTTTGGGTGTTTGCAGTCGCCCATTTTAATTGAAGACATTCTTTACAAAACGTGTGCAGACACTGCAGCAGTTTGGGGCCAACCATCTGTGCACAGCAAACCCCACACACCAGCATCTTTTCAACTGTTGGATTCATCTCTGGTCCGGTTGCAATCTTTTTTTAAAAAAAATCAAAGCAATATATGACATTGCCATTAAAACAAACTTATTATTTAATAAGGAGTTATAATCACTCTGCCACTCTGGAACTCCATTCTGCAGTCCCTCCACCTCGCCCCCTCCCTTGCCTCCTTCAAGACCCATCTCAAGACCCTCCACTTCGACCGTGCCTTCGATCACTCTCCTTCCCTCCACCCTCCCCGATCCTGACCCCCAGCTCGGGTCTGAAACACTGATTGTCCAGCACCTTGGGACATCCTCCTTATGTGAAAGGCATTATACAAATGAAGATGTCTCTCTGCCTCTCTGCTTGTCCAGCTAGAACCACTATTAGGGTTTTGGCTTGAAGAATTAACAGCTGTTAAGTGGGATTAATCCCTGCCCCCAGTGACTGGTCTGTCCCTCCAAGGCCTGTCCATGTACCAGTTGACCATCCGCAATGCCCTGGAGTACTGCAGACCTTTCGGGCTCAGGAACTGGACCAGACACAACTACAGATGGTTGAACCAACTTGGACAGTCCATTTCCCAGCATACCATCTTGGAGCCAGTCTGCTTGCTCTCCCCCACCCATCCCACTCCCCAGGAGGATATTTGGTCATTTGACTTCTGACAAGCGCAGGTTTGAGCTCTCACTGTGTGGATCTCAAGTACCAGGAACTCCTTGTGAGCTTCAGGGGGGCAGCACAGCTCAGCACGAAATGTGAGAGGATTGCCATCACCTTCCTGCCCACAACTCAAACACACATTCCTACTACTCATTGTGCTTTGGTTCCACTAATTGGAGATGTGGAGCTTGAGCAGAAGTGACTCTACAAAACAATCAAGGTGGATTTCAAGCCCTGTAACACCAAGTGGACTCCAGGTGACGCCTTCCAGCGACTGTAATCCCAAGCCTAAATTTCCTCATCAGCAAGTGAATGGACATCTGCCTTCAGCAGGTTTGCTAAAACTAAAGTTTAGTTATGTCTATGGGGAGGCGTAAGATCAGCTTTAACACTGGTCTCTGCAATTCCTGGTTTCTGATATCAATCTCTGTGTTAAATATTCACTAAAAACGACCTGTCAGAGGAACTTTTGGGGGTCTGACACATGCGGAAACCCATCACATGTTTAAGAGTATCCAAACCAAACTGAGAATTCCAGGCATCCCACTACACATGGAAATCCCAGAGATAGATTGTTGGAATGGAATGCGCTCTCTCTCTGGAGGGACACAGTCTGCTCACCTAATTGCGGAGTGTATTAGGCGCAGGTTGGCAAGAGCCAAGGGTTGGGGAGCACAGACTGTGCGTTGGGGTAACTGCTGGAGTCTAACCAGCTAAACCCACACAGTTTGCCATTGATATCACTGTCTGGACAGCTTTCCCGCTGCTTGTCCAGCGAGAGACCACCCTCCCCGTTAGGGCTTTGGCTGCAGGGTTAACAGGAGCTGAGTGGGAGGACTCCCTGACCCCAGTGACTGGTCAGCCCTTCCAGGTCCTGCTGATGATCCGGGCGGGGCCGGGCGGGGCCGGGCGGGCATTAATATTGCCCTGGAATACTGCACAGCTCATCACAGCACAGAAATTGTCGGAGGAACTAATATAACTGTAGAATCACTCACTTACCTTAAACGTGTCTTAAGCGTTGTAAGTTCAGAAGATTTGTGACGGTGTCACTGCCGAACGGAAACAGCTGCAGAACTTCCGAGAAACTCCTCCACAAAGTCCACTTGAGAAATGGAAACTGAAAGTGAAGCAGAAGAGGTCACAGCAGCCCCGCCCCCCCGCCAGGCCCCGCCCCCGCCAGGCCCCGCCCCCCCCCGCCCCGCCCCCCGCCAGGCCCCGCCCCCCGCCAGGCCCCGCCCCCCGCCAGGCCCCGCCAGGCCCCGCCCCCCGCCAGGCCCCGCCAGGCCCCGCCCCCCGCCAGGCCCCGCCCCCACCCCCCAGCCCCGCCAGGCCCCGCCCCGCCCCGCCCCCGCCAGGCCCCGCCCCCGCCAGGCCCCGCCCCCCCCCCCAGCCCCGCCAGGCCCCGCCCCCCGCCAGGCCCCGCCCCCCGCCAGGCCCCGCCAGGCCCCGCCCCCCGCCAGGCCCCGCCCCCGCCAGGCCCCGCCCCCCCAGATCTCGCTGTGAGTGGCTCCGGGAGGAGATGGCAGAAGGCAAATTGTGACTTCAGTCACAGTGGCCTCTGGGCTGTCAATCAGTGAGTGGGCGGAGGAACGGGAATAAATAAGGGAATGGGAGGAGTCATCACAATTGATTGACAACTGGAGCCACTTCTGAATGGGCGGAGCCCCAACATCCAGCCTGTCAATCACCTCGGAGCCGCCGCTAATTGGTCCCCTTCCCCTCCAATGGGAATGTCAATGGGAGGCGGCGCTGGTCATGGAACTTTGGCTAACCTCGGACCGGCTTAATGCAGACCAAACGGTCAGCCCCGACGGGTCCGGTTGAACCGACTTCCACTGTATATTCTGTGAAGCGCTTTGAGACATTGCAACAATGTGATAAAGTGCTGTGTCAAATCCAAGGATTATTATTATTATTGCGGGACGTAAAATGACTATTTTAGGGGTGAATCCATTGAATCAATCCTCTGAGGCGGCCTCGGTAGTCTGGTACCTGAGGCAGGTCAGGTCTGCAGTACCCCAGGGCACTGCTGCACACCAGCCAACTGGGCCATCGGGTGGTAGCACTTGGAGGGTAAGACTATGATGGGGGCAGCGATGCAGGGAATCTCCACACTCAGTTACTACTGACACTGGAACTGGATTAGCTGCACACACAGCAGGAAGCTAACCATAGTGTTCTCAATGGGAAGTGTGTGGCTTTACCTGGTTACACTCCAGTCACACTCCCAATACACATTCTGCATCTCCAGGCCTTGGCTCTTACCAATCTGCACCCAGTAGTTTCTGGAATTAGGTAAACAGAGTACATCCCTCCAAGGAGTGCGCATTCCATTTAAGGTAAAGGGAAACTTCCCAATGAGCGTTTGTGGGATATTGCTGTGCACAAATAGTCTGACACATTCAATCACAAGCAACTGAATTAACACATTGAATTGTGTATCTGAGCTGTGAAAAGATAGCGCCACCCAGAAGGTCTAAATTGGAGCAGAGTTGGGTTTAATTTATTTTTAAGTGTCCGGATCCTAAAGGGTGTAGATAAGTTCGACCCCAACACTATGTTCAATATGGTCAAGAGGTCTACAAGTGGTTATGGGCTGAAACTCAGCAGCGTGAATTGAGCATTTGATACATGCATCAGTTACACAGAAACGACTCAAAACACTTGTCTGGTGTAGTGACTATTTGTAAGGGAACGTGGCAGGCAATTTGTACACAGCTTTGTCCACATACAGCTGTAACACAAACAGAATGATCATTTTTTTTATCTAGAGTTGTTAGCCAGAATACTGTGAGAAATTCTCTTTAGAAAAGTGTTCCCCCCAGCACTGCATTGGAGTGTCAGCCTGGCCTCATGTTACCAACCGAGTCAGGTTCACATCTTGAGATTTAATTATATGACACAATGTGAATATATGTATGTCTAGGAAGGGAGTGTTGAGAATAATTGCTTAAGTGTGATTATTATGGGGTTATGTATGAGGGCTTATTAACAAGATATTAGTAGTAATATTGAAATGAATTAAGGGACTAGGAAGCCATGGTAAAAGTGAGCAACTGATGAGTCAGAAACATTCTTGCATGGAGTTGTTTTTGTGCACGTCTCTGGCTGTCATAGTTACCGTTGTAAAAAGAAGTGGAATTGTGTACTCAGGGCAGAGTTTCGGAGAAGAGCAACTGACGCAGTTGCAACTGCCGATGGGATCGGGTAATATGATCTCAATTCTGTCTATTGCTTAAATGTATTGTAATGTTACAACACAGCTGATTGTGTCAATGTTAATAAAAGACTTTTACTTTACCAACTTAATACCGTCTCAAGAGAATTCTTAACAGGAATAAGTGCTCTGAGACACTACCCACACGAAGGGCGCTATGTAAATGCAAGTTGTTGTTGTGGTAAAGATGGAATAGGACGTTTCCATAGGGACTTATATAGGGTTCCAATAGGGAAGGGGATTGAGGAAAGGCTATGTGAGATAGGGATGATATTACTTGGTAATATTGACCAGATGGGATTGGAATGGTTTTGTCTTGCATTGCAGATTCTTAGGTTCTCACCTGCATCTGGTTTTGTTGTTCATGCTCTTCCTGCTGAAAGATGTTTCAAACCACAATTCTCAAACAATAGGAACTCAGAATACAATTTCTGCATTTCAAGTGGAAATACTGTATAAAATGAATCTAGAACACTGCTATCCTTCCCTCACCTAAAGTGCAGCACCTCTTAACCGACAACCAACCCAATCGAAGATCACAACACCTTCAAATTTAGTGTTTGATTTGTAAATGAAAGGAGTCATTGAATGATGGCAGCACCACATCTACATCATGAAACAAGTTTCCTAGCAGGGCCACAGACTGCTGTTAAATGTCAAATTAATGGCAAAATGCACCATGTTACAGCAACAGCAGCATCTTATGGAAGCAATAACTTCTGAAAACAAAACGTTCCACCAGTTTTTTATTGCTTGTAACTGGCAATTTTATATAAATACATATAAAAGGCAATGTTTCATCAGTTTGAATGATGGGTATTACAGCAATGAAGGCCTCCTGAGAAGCATGCGACAATGTCGGACTCTTCTCTGTCCTTATGAGTATCAAACATTCCTGTTTATATAGATTCATTTTCCAAGCTTCCTTTGTTCATCCTGTTTGAAAAAACAAGAACTAAACTTAAATACTGAGAATGACATGATACAGTGACTGAATTATTTGTGTTATTCATTTGATCCTTCGACGAAGTAACAGAGAGGGTTGATGAACCTAGTGCTGTTGATGTTGTGCAGACAGACTTACAAAAGGCGATTGATAAAGTGCCACCTAACAGACTTGTTAGCAAAATTGAAGCCCAACAACAACAACAACAACAACAAGATTCCATTTATAAAGCGCCTTTCACGTCAGGAGGACGTCCCAAGGCGCTGCACAGTTGGGTCATGACCCGAGCAGGGGGGAAATGGTCAGGGTGAGGGGAGGGGAGGGAGGGAGAGAGGAGGGGGGAAATGGTCAGGGTGAGGGGAGGGAAGGGAGGGAGCGAGGAGGGGGGAAATGGTGAGGGTGAGGGGAGGGAAGGGAGGGAGCGAGGAGGGGGGAAATGGTCAGGGTGAGGGGAGGGAAGGGAGGGAGCGAGGAGGGGGGAAATGGTCAGGGTGAGGGGAGGGAAGGGAGGGAGCGAGGAGGGGGAAGAGAGTCGAGAGGGGAGCTGAAGGTACGGTCAAAGAGAAAGGTTTTGAGACCGGCCATGAAGGAGGGAAGGGATGAAGCGGCGAAGGCACTGGGGGATGGAGTTCCAGAGCCTCGGGGCTGAGAGGCTGAAGGCCCGACCACCGATGGTAGGGCGGTTGGGGCGGGGGATGTGGAGCAGATCGGAGCCAGAGGAACGGAGGGTACGGGCAGGTAGGTAGGGGGATAGTAGGTTGGAGAGGTAGGAGGGAGCGAGGCCGTGAATGGCCTTGTAGGTGAGGATGAGGATCTTGAAATCAATCCTCTGGGGATGGGGAGCCAGTGGAGGCGAGCGAGGGTGGGTGTGATGTGGTCGCGGTGTCTGGTGCGGGACAGTACACGAGCTGCAGAGTTCTGAATGACCTGCAGTGTGGAGGGAGGTGGCGGGAAGGCCGGCGAGGAGAGAGTTCCCATAGTCCAGCCTTGAGGTGACAAAGGCGTGAACCAGGGTTTCAGCCGCGTGAGGGGTGAGGTAATGCCGTAGTCTGGCGATGGATCCCAAATTGGCTGGGAGACAGAAAGCAGAGAATAGTTGTGAATAGGTATACAGTGGTGTTCCCAGGGTCGGCATTAGGATCACTGCTCTTTTTAATATATATTAATAACAATAATAATAACTTGGACTTGGGTATAGAGAACAGCATTTTAAAGTTCGTAGATGACACAAAACTTGGGAACGTGGTAAACGGTGAGGAGGATGGTAGCAGACTGCAGGAGACTGGTTAAATGGGCAGACACATGGCAGATGAATTTTAATGCAGAGAAGTGTGAAGTGATACATTTTCAGAGGAGGATTGAGGAGAGGCAATATAAGATAAATGGTAGTTTTAAAGGGGGTGCAGGAATAGAGACCTGGGGTTTCACATAAGCAAATCTTTGATTTGACACAAAGCAGAGATAGTTCAGGGAGATTTAATAGAGGTATTCAAAATTATGAGGGGTTTCGATAAGAGCAGATAGGGAGAAAACATGTGGATCGGTAACCAGAGGACACAGATTTAAGATAATTGGCAAAAGAACCAGAGGGGTGGGAGGTATACAGGGTGGTGGAAGCAGATTTGATAACAGCTTTCAAAAGGGAATTGGATAGGTACTTAAAAAGGAAAAAATTGCAGGGTTATGGGGAAAGAACCGGGGAGTGCGACTAGTTGGTAACTCTCAAAGAGCCGACACAGACATGATGGCCCAAATGGCCTCTTTCTGTGCTGTAATACTCTATGAATCTATCCTTTTATTAAGTATTAAAAAAATTGCCAATCTCTCTTCATGTGTGAGCCCAGACAGCAAGCAACGATTACATGATACAACAACAACAAATTACATTTATAGAGCGCCTTTCAGGTCAGGAGGATGTCAAGGTGCTGGACAGTCAGGAGTCAGGGGGAGGGGTGGGGTACGGGTGAGGAAAGGCAGAAAGGTGGGAGGGCGACCAAAAGCACAATTGAAGAGAAAGGTCTTGAGACCGGCCTTGAAGGAGGTGAGGGAGGAAGCGAGGCCAAGGGACCGTGGGATGGAGTTCCAGAGTGTGGGGGCAGAGAGGCTGAAAGCCCGACCACCGATGGTAGGGCGGGTGGGGCAGGAGACATGGAGCAGCCGGAGTCCATTGAACTGAGGGAGCGGGCAGGTTGGTAGAGAGTCAGCAGGTCAGAGGGAGGAGGGGGCAAGGCCATGGATGGCCTTGAAAGTGAAGACGAGGATCTTGAACTCGATCCTCTGGGGGATGGGGAGCCAGTGGAGTCGGGTGAGGGTGGGAGTGATGGGGTCACGGAGCTTGGTGCGCGAGAGTACACAAGCTGCAAAGTTTTGGATGATCTGCAGCTTTGTAGAGCATTCTTTTTCACACCATACTAAACAATTTACATTTATACAGTCACATTAGAAAGTCACTCTAGGGCACTGCAGTTTTAAAACCAAAGGAGGCAGCAGGATGTTTTAGTTTACTAGCAATTTGAACCTGAAGAGGCCTACATGAGATCGTGCTGAAATTACCTTTAGGGCACGCTTGAGATCCAGCAAGGATTCCTCATAGCGTGGGATCAGTGGGGTCAGGTTTTCATGTTTCACCAACTGCTTCTTCAACTCTTTGCTGCCAGCATCCTTCATCATCTGAAGGAATCTTTCCTCCTGTAAATACAGCATTATTAGTTCATCTCAACAGACTCGCCAAAAAAATTCTAATTACAAGAGGGGATTTCACCATCGGGATCAAAACATTAAGTCACCTGGACATGTAAGAGGAATGTGAATGCTAGACCAGCCTTCCCAGCCCGAGCCGTCCTCCCAACTCTGAAACAAAGGCAATAAATGAGACAGGAAACACCATCATTTGGTCAAATAATTTACCAATGAAGAGTCAGTCGTGCAATGAAACTTTAACTGCTCTTTCTCAGATTCACATGTTTTAGATTTCCAGAGTTTTTTTGTCTTCATCTGATCTACTTCATCTAAAAGACTCACTGTTGAATCCAAACAGCACTACATCTACCACATCAGTGAATAGAATAGAATCATAGAATATCACAGCACAGAAGGAGGCCATTCGGTCCATCGTGCCTTTGGAAGAGCTACCCAGCCAGTCCCACTCCCCCGTTGTTTCCCCATATCCTTGCAAATGTTTCCTTTTCAAGTTCCTATCTAATTCCCATTTGAAAGTTGTTATTGAATCTGTTTCCACCCTTTCAGGCCATGCTTTCCAGACCGTAACAACTCTCTGTGTAAAATAAATTCTCATCTCCCCTCTGGTTCTTTTGCCAATTATCTTAAAAGGTTAAATACAGAGTAAAGCTTTCTCTACACAGCCCCCTTCAGCGTTCCCAGTTCAGGTGCAGCATAAATGAGATGGGCATTAAATAATGAAACAGCGAAGGAAGATGCATTTGCACATAATGTGTTCCCATAGACGCCCACCCTCCTGTTTTCCTTTTCAAGTACCTATCCAATTCCCTTTTGAAAGTTTTTATTGAATGTTACTATTGAAGCAGTGTGATAAAGTACTTTCATGAGTCTCTGGAGTGAGCGAGGTGTCCTGAGATCTTTAGATACAAGCAACTGATCATTAGAGACTTCTGTTAAAATCATAATTTATCAATTGTTTCAATCAAAGTTTTCAAATACCTGTGCAGAGGCTGGAGAAGCCACGAGACACTGCTTACCTGTGGATGTATGTCCTAATGAATTGTGGAGCATCATAATTAATCACGCACATGACTTCTTTAATATCAATCCCTCTGGCGGTTGCATCAGTGCTGATCAGTCTATGGAGAAAATACAGATGAAAAGTAGCACCAAATTCAAGGATTCTAATTGAATAGAATTGGGTAATAGGATAGTGCACAGGCAAACCTGCAGGCCTGGTTTTTAGTTTCTAACACAAACGCACAATTTTCCAAACACAAATGTTCCCCCTTCCCATCCCCCGACAGGTTTTCTCCTCATCCCAAACAAGCACTGTTTCTCCCACCTTCCCACACGCTGTTTCTCCTGTGCACCCATGCTGCACACACTCTGCCTGCCCCCCACCCACAGGCACACCCCTACCCCCCAGGTGCTCATGCATAAGCATCCCCCATGCACACACACAGGCACACACCCCCACGCACACCCCCCCACGCACACACACGTCCCCAGGCGCACACAGGTACACACACTTACAGTTGTAGTTTTCCTTGCTCAAACATTTTCAGGGTTTTCCGTCTTTCTTGAGGAGAAAGTCTGGAGGAAAATTCCGCAACTTCAATGCCACCAAACGCACGGATCAAAACATATAACCTGCAAAGCACAGTTTAGTGACTCTTATTTGATGCCGTGTTGCTGAGTGTGACAATACAATAAGCTTTAATATGAGAGATTTCACCAAAGCTAACCAGCATCTCCTTAACAATACACAATTACATTTACACAGCGCCTTTCACATCGGGAGGATGTCCCAAGGCGCTGGACATTCAGGGATTTGGACCCGAGCTGGGGGTCGAAATCGGGGAGGGTGGACGAAGGCTCGGTTGAAGAGGAGGGTTTTGAGACCCGCCTTAAAAGTCAGTTCATCTCTTTCTCCTATTCCTTCATGTTACTGATCTTCTAACTATAAAGGGCTGAGTACAACCAGCAGAAATCAAAGCTAGAATCCTCTGATCCCAGGTCCAGGGCTATATTAAATGACCCAAATCAAATATATATACCAGCAACTTGCATTTATATAGAGGGAGGGTGCAAGGTGGAGGAATTGAGGGAGAGAGTGCCAGAGTTTTGGGATGGAAGGCATGAGGGTCAAACAGGAGGTTCGAGCCTGTCGAGTGGAGACAGTGAGTGGGGGAGTGGGGTGTAAGGAGGTCGGAGAGGTAAGGAGGTGTGAGGGCATGCCGGGATTTGAAAACGAGTGAGAAGATTTTGAAATCGATCTGTTCAGTAATTAGGAGCATGTGGTTAGCAAGGCAGCTTTTTAGATAGGATTAAAGACAGATAGAGGAAGAGAAGAGGGAGGGAATTCCAGAGATTAGGGCATTAGGGCTGAAGGTTTGGCTATGGATAATGGGTATGAAGGGAATGGGCTGAGCAGGATGATCAAGTTAGCTGAGGGGATGGGCGAGCAGAAAAATGGAGAAGGCGACAGGTTTAAAGCAGAACAAACATCAAGTCCTGGATGAGCTGTAACTTTGCCCTCAAAATACAGTCAATTCACTTTACAATATATCCTGTGAAGTGTTTAGAAAAGTCTCAACAACTTGATAAGGCGCTGTATCAAACACAAGGATTATTATTATTATTATTAACTTTCTCTAGCCTAATGTTGATGAAAGTGAAGCTCTCCCACTTGCCCCACCCATTTCTGGGATTTGCTTGTGTGGAAACTCGATATCTTGTTCAACCCTCAGCTTTGCTTTAAGCCTTTCATCTCGTCTCTGATTAAATCTACTTTCTTCCATATCCACAATTTTGCCCAACTCCACCACTACCTTTCTCCCAACACAACTGAAACCCTCATCCCTGCCTTCGTCACCACCCACTTAACTTTTCCAACTCCCTGCTCAACTGCCTTCCCAGCTCTGTCTTCCACAAGCTCCAGACCATCTGAACTCCACAGCCCATCACCGAGGTTCCACATGCCCAGCACGCCACCCTCAGACTCCTAGCTCCCTATAGCCCATAGACAGACTCTATATTTTGTGGGCGTTTCACCTACAAAATATACAGTCAATTCACTTTACAGTATATTCTGTGAAGCGCTTTGAGACGTCTCAAAGATGTGATAAGGATTATTATTATTATTACTGTCAACTTTTAAGATCCTGATTCTTGCCATCAAATGCCTCAATGGCCTTGCCCCACCCATTTCTGGGATTTGCTGTGATCTTACCTATCTGCTGATTCTCTCCGTTCCACCAACTTTGACCTGCTTCAGGCACCCCACCTCCTCTACCCACCGTGAGTGAGCTTTCAGCCAATTTGCCCCTCTCTCTGGAACTATCTTCCCAAATCCCTTCACCTCGCTCCCTCACTATAGTTTCAAAACGCATCTCCTTTGGCTGCACATTCAACAACAACTTGCATTTATATAGCGCTGTTTACACCTGATGGAATCTCAAAGCACTTGATTCGTCCATCTCTTGCCTACCCTGAATTCCCAACACTGGTTCGGCTCCCACTCTGTGTCTGTGAAGTTCTTTGAGACAATCTATTATATGAATCATGCTCTGCAATCAAAAATTAATGTAGCTGAATCAACAGAACCTTCTGCCCTGCAAAGAAAAAGGGGGAGAGAACAGCACCTGGTGCCAACAGACATCATTGCCATTATTATACACTTAGCATAACCAGGAAAAACAGGATCAATAACAGCTAGTCACCTGTGAGAGGCTTCCCTGGAGTTAGTGAAACACAGCACACGTCGGAACCTCATTCTCAACATGAAGTACAAGATTATTAGAGGCTTCTTGTTGAGTTGGCACGGGACATAGAATTCCTGCAAAGGATAAACAGAAATATTTTTGTTTATGAAAACTTCTAAATTTCACAACACTTTGGCAATAGAATGTAAAGTCTTCGCACTATACAGTTTGATTTAATAAGAATTAACTTATGGTTACAACTTAAGAAGTGAGACTTGACTTACACCCTGACCCTCCCGCTGAAATTCCTAACCCTCGAGCTGTACACAGCAGATAATAACTAACGAGCAGCTGTACAAGTCCAGAGAGACAAGGAGAGAGAGAGAACTAGCGAGAGAGCAAGAGAGCAGCAGTGAGGCACATCCTAAAGGAAGAGGAGATATTATTTCCACAGACGGAGAGCTATCTATGGCTTGGTTAGTAAGGCAAGCTAAGTATTTAGACAAACTGTTGGTACTCACAGTCAGCCCCTCTGGCAGGGTGTACTTCATTTCCATTTGATCCACTGAGTGATGGCCTTGGCTCTGGGGCCTGCATTGCCCCGGTGCAGTGTAAGTTGAGGTAAATAGCTGAGGCTGGTAAAGTGACAACTGTTGCAGTTTCTCAGGATTTGGGGTAAGGGTAGCAGAGAACAGTAGCTTCTGCAGCGGCATCTGCACACACGTGCTGCTGTGGAACAAAGTTTGGTGTTTGATACAATGAGATCACAAATTTATAGCAATAAGCTACTCAATGAAGAAATGCGAGCTACACCAGTAAATGCATTCTCCTATAATTGACTATGCTGTAGAACAAATCACAAACCCACATATTCCAAGGCCTTGCATCAAACTCAAAACACTAGTTTTGGTTTGTTAAATGGAATCATTTTATAATCTACACACAGAAACATAGCACACCAACAGCTGTAAGAAGATTTTGAAGTAGATCTGTGGCTTCCAGATATTAAACACAATAACAGACTGAATTTAAAATAATTTAAAAAGGGCTACTGGACACTGGGTTTTTAAGTCGTTTAAACTGTGCTGTGATGAGAAACTCCAAACCAGGAAAAACGTGGTATTTACTTTTAGCTCAATATACTCTGCCAATGGAGTGACTGGTGTTACCCAAGCAACAACACACAGAATGGGGTGTGTGCCCACGATTCCTATTTGCCTGGTTTTCAATCTCACTTATAAGAGAGAAAGAGATGAAGCTGGTTCCTCGCTCTTATTAGCTGTACTACAGCACTGGCAGGGCAGCTAGTTAATAGGATTAGTATTAATTTATTGTTGGTCAGCTGAGTGTCTGACATGTGCGGAAACCCTTGCTTAAGAGAATCCAAACCGAACACAATTCTATGCACCTCAGCTGTACGTGGAAATTCCACCTGAGCTGTGGATGGGAACCTAATGGGGGAGGGGGAAAGATGACCGAAAGTATGGTTAAGAGTTGTGGAGAGCGGGGCAAATGGTTGAAAGCCACACAGCAGCGTCCCACAAACAGTCATGGATTGAAGTGACCAAATTATTATTGTTATTTTATTCTAAAGGGATTATTACCCCTGGAAAAGCAGACATGCATCTATGATGCGCAACTCCCAGCACAGCAAAATACTAACGCTGCCAGTCACACTCCCCTTCAACAAGGCTCCCCGGCACTAGCAATATGCTACTTTCTCAATAAAAAAGGTGTTATTGTTGTAACGCTGTGAAGTCCAGCCGTCTCCTTACCTCTGTGCTGTGCAGAGACCGGGCTCTGTTCTCCTGAACAGTTTGCCAGCAGCTAAGTTTGCATCCGCTTGATACACTGCCTTTACCACCTGCATTAGCCAGTCTTGGTGCATACTGTCAATCATTGTGTCTGCTTCATCGATTACCTACAGCATTAACATTAGTAACACATAAACATTGTACAGCACTCATCCACAAGCTCCATCAGTTCACCTACATTGCACTTTTCAGACAGGAGACTGGGGAATACGTTTATACCATATTCAGTGTTAGCAGAGGCAGTGCAGTTGCAGATCCCTGATCTGCTTTAAATAATACGGCAGTAATAATCCTTACATTTGGCATAGTTTCATTTTCATGTTGGGAGGACTTCTCAAAGCGCTTCACAAAATATACTGTAATGTACAGCAGCCAATTTGCACACAGCAATGTCCCTTAACCAGAACAAATACGAGCATTTATATAGCGCCCCTCACGCAGGGTAGTGTCCCAGAGCACTGGGGCAGGGGGTGGGTAACCAGAAGTCGAAGAGAAAGGTCTTCAGGTACGACCTGAAGATGGGGAAGGATGGGCCAAGGCGGAGGGATAGAGGTATGTTCCAGAGTTTCAGGACGTTGTGGCTGAAGGCACGGCCACCAATGGTAGAATGGGGGGTACGAGGGACATGCAGGAGGCCAGAGCCAGTCAAATGGAGACAGCGGGTCGTCGGTTTGGAAGTATCCAGGTGGGAAAGGTGGGGAGGTGCCAGGGCACGAAGGGATTAGAAGTGTGAGCATCTTGAAATCGATCCATTCAGCAATAGGGAGTCAGTGGAGCCCGGATAGAACTGTGTGATGGGGTTACGGAATTTAATGCGGGTGAGATATGTGGGTGGTGGAGTTTTGGATCAGCTGGATTTTGTTGATGGTGGAGCTGGAGAGCCTGGCAAGATGGGACATAAACAGCCATGAAGCGAGTGACCAATGTGACCTGGGTAATTGTAAGCCAGGACTCTGGGGGAAACTTTCTTTGCTTTTAAAGCGCTCTGAGACACCGTCAAGCGTGAACCGCCCTATATAAATGCACGTTGTTGTTGCTATTGTTGAATAGTGCCATAAGATCTTTAACACCGACCTGAACGGGCAGATGGGACCTGTTTAACATTTCATCCAAAGGACGCTCCTCCAATAATGCTGCACTCCCCCATAACTGCGATGCAGGGTCAGTCTAGACAAATCGTGAAGTGGACACAATCTTCTGGCTCACAGGTGAGACTGCAACTATCTGAGCCAGGCTGGCACATGTTCTGAGCTTCTCGGCTATGAGCCAGTTTGTCTTCTCCCCCCACCTCACCCATACAATGGCTTCAATGAGTGGTTAAATGCGAGGATTTTGTTTAAAATAGTAATAATTTTCTCCCTCAGTCAATGGCATTGTACAGGTAAAAGATCAGCTTGTGATCATAGCTGTGCCGACAGGCAGACATGCTGAGCAGGTATCAAATTCTTCTCCCCAGTTTAAGAGCAGTTTAAGATTAAAAGAGTTGCCTAATTGTCTTTGTCACAGGAACATCTGGAACGGGAAGAAATTGGGGAGCTTGGGATCAGCATCAGTTTCATTTCTGCATGTTATAATAACGAACAATATAATTTCTTCTAAAGCCTTTCAAACAGCTTTCAAACAATCTCCTCTGATAAAAGCTTTTGGTAATAAACTTACACCTTAGCAGAATTAATATGATTCTTTCCTTTATTTCCTTTCATTCTGGAAATTTGACTTCAATAAACTTGAATAAGTTCCAAAATGAAAGGAAATGAAGAAAAGATACATAAAATGGAAATGTTAGGCCGAGGTGGCAGTGTAGCTCAGTTGGTAGCATTCTCGTCTCTAAGACAAAAGGTTGTTCATTCATGTCAGATATGGAACTGATGTTCAAGTGCAATGCTCCAGAGCACTGTGTTGTCAGAGGTGCCATCCTTCGGGTGAGAATGTTAAACAATGTCCCATCTGTCTGTTCAACTGGACTATATGGCAAAGAGAGTGTTTCTCCTAGAGCGTCGTATAATATAATAATAATCGTTGCATTTGATATCGCGCTTTTCAGGTCTTCTAGATGCCTCAAAGCGCTTCACATAATATACTGTAAAGTGAATTGACTGTATATTTTGAGGGCAAAACCCGGCAGCTAACTGCGCACAGCAATGTCCCACAAACAGTCGTGGATTGATTGACCAAATTATTATTATATATTTTTTGAAGGATAGTCCTAGCCAATTATCCCCAGGGAAAAACTGCTCATTCACTTCAAGGCTGTTTGTGGCATATTGCTGTGTGCAAATCGGCGACTGCGTTCACCTACAAAATACACAGTACTACACTTTACAACAAAATCACGTGAAGCACTGAGACATTTCCCATTGTAAAAGACTCTATATAAATTGCAAGGATTATCTATTAGGTACTGAAAGATCCCTTTCAAATGATACAGTTGATTAAGTTTAGAGTATATACTGTGAAGCGCTTTGAGATGTCTCAATTACGTGATAGGGCGCTATATCAAATCAAGGATTATTATTATTATTGTTTGGGTGTTGTTTATATATATGGAAGTTGACCCTGTATCTGAGGATGACATCACCGAGGAGCGCGGAAATGAGGAAAAGGAGGGGCCAAGGATGGAACCTTGGGGTACACTGCAGGTGACATGGCGGAGGCGGGAGGAAAATCAGGAACAACAAAATTAAATTTGTAAACCGCCTTTCACGTCTGGAGGACATCCCAAGGCACTGGACATTCAGTGTTTCGGACCCAAGCTGAAGGTCAGGATCGGGGTGGGTGGAAGGCAGAAGGGAAGGAGGGTGATCGAAAGCACGGTCAAAGAGGAGGGTCTTGAGATGGGTCTTGAAGGAGTCAAGGAAGGGGGTTAGGCGGAAGGACTGCGGGATGGAGTTCCAGAGGGTGGGGGCAAAAAAAACTTTTTGCACTATGTCGAAAGCCTTGTGTAAGTCAATTCAACATAGGTGGGTTTCCCCTTAGCCTTACAACTGCGATCTCGTACATGTCCCACACATTCCTCAAAAGAACAGAAGCCAACCTTCTTATTCCAGTTCAAACAATAACCCTCCAATGCATGCAATAAACGTGCAGTGACTACCTGCAGCGTCACTTTAAGAGCCATTGAAACCAGTCAGAACCCTTTGTAGATCTATGTCTCACTAGGGTCAACCGTCTTGTGGATAGACACCACAACTGCACTGACGGAGTGAGTGCCTCAAAGAGAGTCCTGTTGACCAGCGCAAGACCACTTTAAAGGCCCAATAAAATTGTCCCAGAAAAAAATTGGCCATTCACTTCATGGCTGCTTGTGGCATATTGATGTGTACAAATTGACTATGTTTGCCTACAAGATACAGTTACTTCACTTTACATTAAATCCTGTGAGGGGCTTTGAGAAATCCTCATGATGTGAAAGGCACTCTACAAATATAAATTGCATTGTATTTGATCTGTTCCAGGCATCTGCCAATGCCACATTGCAAACAGACCTTAAGAACATCAAAGTGACTGGCATGTCAAAAGCTGTCCTGGAAAGGCCCGCCCACCACGTTTAAGGCAGATAGTCTTCAGATAGCTGATGAGGAAACTCTGAGGCTTGGAGTCACAACTGCTGGAAGCATTACCCAGAGTCTGAGTTTGTGAAAACAAGATCATACCAGCGCCTGGAGCCCACCTTAATTGGCTGCAGAGAGGCCAGCAGCTGCTGCTTAAACTCTGCACCTCCAACTGGTGAAACCATTGCTCAATGGGAAGGGACGTGTGCCTGAGCTGTTGGTATCAAGATGGTGGCAATGCTCTCACACATTTCATGCTCAGCTGGGTTGCCCACCGGGAAGCTTGCAGGCTTGGTAGCTGCCACCCACCTAGTGAGAGCTCAAACCCACACTTGTCAGAGGTCAAACAACCAACTGGTATGTAGGTGGGATGCATGGAAATCTCAGCTTGGTTTGGAAACTCTCCAGCAACCTGACAGCTGGCTGACCAAATAAAACATATCTGGGGGATTGTTGGTCAGGTTATCTCCCTTCCTTCTCAAATAGGATAATAGGATCTTTAACATCCATCTAAATAGGCAGTTTAACATCTATTTAAAATGCACAGGAATAAAACAAAAGAATATTTATAGAAAACCCACTCTCCATAACCATTAAGAATTCCTCATTCCCTAATAACTAGTGTTTGTAAAAAACACCAGCCTTCCTTTTGACAACTTACAAGCTCACCAAATCTTACCAAGTATCTCAGATGTTGCAGGCTAAATCCGGGTGTTCTTGCAATGTGGTCCACAAGACGACCGGGTGTGGCAACGACAATATCTACCAGACTGCGGTAGCCTTCAATTCTGTAAGAATGGAGTAGAAATGGACTCAGCAATTAAGGGCAAAAGGACATCTCTCCCTCCCACTCCCCTGTTTCCTCTAGTCCTCTCCCCACTCCCACAGGCCTGACCATGCCCAGCTGACCCACTGCTTCTAGTCTCAGTGTGTGTGTTTGGCAGCTGCACCTGACCCAAGCTTCCCATTCCCTGACCCATTGCCACGCTTGTGGCCCCATCTCTCACACTCCCATTCGCTGCTCCTCTCCTCGTGCCGTCCCCGCCTTCTCCCATCCTCAGTTCCATCATAGACTCGCCATTGACTGCCCCCAATCTCACCATAGGGCCTGCCTCTCCCATGCCCTAGGAACAAACCTCTTCTCAATCATCCACTCTTCCCCTCCACCTTCTGTAATTGCCTTCAAGAATGTACATTCCCCGTAAATAGTCTAATCAAGGACAAAAATGTTGACATACTTGGTTTCACTGAAACCTGGCTCACCTTCCCCACATCTGGCTACACTTTACACCATGCCGCCCACCTCAACCATCATGGTGGCAGCATTGCTCTTCTATCCAGGTCCTACCTCAGCCTGTTCCATTCCTCCTCTGGTACTCTCTCCTCCTTTTAGCACGTCACAATCATTTTCACCCAAACCCCAGGGCAAATTTCTCATAAACATCTTGCACCATAAAAAATTACAGCACAGAAGATGTCAGCTCCCTCAAGAGCAATCATTTTAGTCCCATTCTCTCCACTTTGCCTATATCTCTGTAGCTGACTGTTATTAAGGTATTCATCTAGTTCAATCTTGAAGGGCAATATGGATTTTGCCTTAACCACCATTCTCAATCTTAAATTCCCCTAATTTTTACCTCAAAATACATAGCACGTCACTTTACAGTGTATCCCGTGAAGCACTTTGAGACGTCTCAATGGCATGAAAAGTCACTATATCAAATGTAAGGATAGTTATACATTTTTTTCTAAGTATGGTTTGCTTTTGAAATTCTTATCCCAAATAGCTGTTCCTTATTCCCTTTTTTTAATTTTACTGTGAGAAAACTGCTTTCCTCTGTGAAAATTGAGGCAAATAATTTGTTAAATAGTCCAGCCATCCCCTCCTCTTTCACCAATTTACTGCTTTTGCCTAATCCCATCCCTCCTGAACTGTACTTTTGCTTCTAATATGTTTAAGTTTCTAAAAACTTTTACAATTCCCCAAAATATACAATCTTTTAATCCAACTTCTCACCTTTACTAAATATTCAGAGGTCCTATGCTCTTTATTAGACTTAGCTCCTTAGATGTTCATGGTGTATTTTGGCTGTTTCTAATTAACACATAGATCTGTTAACCAGTTTCCCTTTTATAATTCAACTTATTCCAGCTTGGTTATTCCAGCTTGGTTATTCCAGCTTGGTTATTCCAGCTTGGTTATTCCAGCTTGGTTATTCCAGCTTGGTTATTCCAGCTTGGTTATTCCAGCTTGGTTATTCCAGCTTGGTTATTCCAGCTTGGTTATTCCAGCTTGGTTATTCCAGCTTGGTTATTCCAGCTTGGTTATTCCAGCTTGGTTAGCAGATTGCTTCAGAAAAATGGCTACTTACGTGTGCTCAACAAGAGAGGTCTGTTCCACAGCAAATGATTTCTGTCCAGCCATCAACACTACCCTCACACCCGTGCCGTCAGCATAAACATTGAAAACTTTACACACCTGAGGGAAACAAAGCTATTTGAAAACACCTCAGCAATCTGTACCAATTTTTAATTTTTTTATTTTTATTTGGTCAGCCTGTCTGTGACACATGCGGAAACCCATCACCATGTTTAAGAATATCCAAAGTAAGATGAGATTTGGATATTCTGAAGCATGGTGATGGGTTTCTATATGTGTCAGACCAAAAGAAAGTTACTTCCATCTTTTATTATAGATTTCAAAATCTTGCCAATAACCAATGTTAGGATGATTGTCCTGTAGTTTCCTGTATTACTTCTATTTTAAAAACAGGTATTACATTAGTCATCCTACAGACCTCTGTCACGAGTCCTTTTTCTATAGAGTTCTTATAAATATTGAGCTTGTGTGATTTATTTTAAGCCCTCCACTTAACTGTTGCGATTTTACACCCCGCCACATCTGTTCTTACTGGATTTTCCTTATTAGTTTCCTATGTAAAAACCGAGGGGAAGAATTCATTTAGCATTTCTGCCATTTCATTATTATAACATAATAATCCTTGCATTTGATATAATGCATTATCATGTCTTCGAGATGTATCAAAACGCTTCACAGAATATGTCTTTTATAAATGTTCACAGTGTTAAGATTAAGGGTCATCCGTTTCGAACAGAGTTGAGGAAACCCTTCTTCACTCAGAGTAGTGAATTTGTGGAATTCACTACCCCAGAAGGCTGTAGATGCTCAGTCAGTCCTTGAACCTATTCAAGACTGAGATTGATAGATTTCTAAAGATTAGAGGGATTAAGGGATATGGGGATAAAGCAGGCAGATGGAGTTAGGTTAGAAGATCAGCCATGATCTTATTGAATTACGGGGCAGGCTCGAGGGGCCGAATGGTCTACTCCTGCCCCTAATTCCTATGTTCCTAATATACTTTAAAGTGGATTAACTGCATGTTTTGTGGGCGAAATGTGGCAGCCAATTGTGCACAGCAGTGTCCCACAAACAGTCGTTTATCTCCTTAATGTCCCATGTCTGCTTTAACCATTCTTTTATTGCTAACATGCCTATAGAACAGCTTACTATTTTTGCTACTTCTTTTATATGTTTTCCTCTTTGCTTTACTAATTCTTTTTAACCTTGTTCCTAAATTTTCCTCCATTATCTATTCTGTACTATTCAAATGCTTTTTTGTTTTCACCTTCTTGTTCGTCCATGCGTCCCATTATTTGTTAATTTTTAATTAATTCCTTATTTTTTAATGGAATATATTTCTCTTTCACATTCTACCTTGTGCTTAAAAATCTTCCTTTGGTGCTCAACATGTTTGTTTGCCAATTTTTCCCTTTAGTCTACCTCTAGTCTACCTTGGTTAGTTCATTCCTCACACTATTGTAATTCACTTTTTTCCAATCAAAAGTTTCACGTCTTGTTCAGCACCTGTTTTATCATCATTTTGAACCTTATTATACTAAGCTTATTACCCCCGAGGTCCTCCCCTACATTTAAATCCTTGATGCTCTGATTCACTACTCATAACTAGGTCAACCAAATACTTCTCTTGTTGGGAGTTTTTAGAGATTGGGACAGAAAACAATACTGCTCATATTATAAAGCTCTTTTTCATTCTTTATCTCTAACCAGATGGATTCTGTCTCTACCCTGTAAGTATTTATATCTATCTCCTTTCTAGTGTGAGTATAGTCTCTGACCAATTCTGCTACTCCACCTCCCTTATCCCCTCTCTGTACTTTCAAAATATATTGTATCCTGCAATATTTAATTGCCAATCATGTCCAGGTTATAACCATGTTTCTGTTAATGTAATTATATCCAATTACTCACTTTTGATTACTGCCTCCAGTTTTCCTATTCTGTTCCCCGTGCTCCGTGTGTAACTGTACAGACACTGCAACATATTCCTATCTTTCTCTGTCTTCATACTTTTCACTAATACGCTCTGGGACGCTGTGTGAGGGGCGCTATATAAATACGAGTTGTTGTGTTCATTTTTACTCACAACTTTTCCCTGACTACTTAAATTCTGCTCATCTCCACTCTATGCTGCCAATGATTACATTAAGGTTATTTGATTTTCTGCATGTCCCAACTCCCTCACTTTCTCTCTGTATTGCAAAAACTTTCTTCCCACCCTCCTGCCAGATTAGTTTACATCCTCTGCTGCTGCCCTAGCTATTTTCTCAGTGAGGAGACTGGTGCCAGGTGTAGCCGAGCTATTCCATACCGCTCTTCCTGCTCCATAACTGGTCCCAGTGTCCTAAGAATCTGAATCCCTCCTACAGCATCTGTCTGGCCACACATTTACCTGCCTTATTTGCCTGTTAATATACTGACTGGCACGTGTCTCAGGAAATCATCCTGAGATGACAACCCTTCAAGTACTGTGCCTTAATCTATCGCCTAATTGCTGGAGCTCTCTTTGCTAAAATCTATAACTTGAATACCAAACTTCTACTTTGACGAAAATTGATCACTGAATCCAGCTGTCACTTTTCCTGCAGAGTTAGAGGATGTTAAACCTTCCATTACATTACCTGCTGAGCCAGTTCTTTAGTTGGGAGCACCACCAGAGCTCGAATTCTGCAAACAGCACGGTCCATCAGCGCCTGGGAAAGAAACAAAGTTTTACTCATGGAAAAGAGATTGTTTTTCTTGACACATGCAGAAACTCAGCACCATGCTTAGGAGTATCAAATCCAGAAGTCCATGCAACCCACCTACACATGGAAATTCCCAAGATATTTATTGGAAATGGTATGTGCACTGGAGGGACGCAGCCTGCTTACCCAATTCTGCAGAGTATTAGGCACAGGTTGGCAAGAGCCAAGGCTTGGGGACCTCAGAGTGTACGTTGGGGTAACCGCTGGGGTCTAACCAGCTAAAACCGCTTGCCATTGAAAACAATGTCCGGCAAGTTTTCCCGCTGCTTATCCTTATGGGTCACCCATAAGGGCTTTGGTTTGCAGGGTTAAAAAGGGCTCAGTGGGAAGAACCTCTGCCCCAGAGCCTCGCCTGCCCTTCTAAAACCTGCCAATGAGCCGTCATCAACAGTGCCCTGGAATACTGTGGCTCCGCTTGGCTCAGTGATGGGTTGAGGAGATCACAAGTGGCTGGCTCAATCCTGACAATCCTGTGTCAAGCATGTCACGTTTGAGCCAGTTTAGGTGCAAGGAGACCCTGCTACCTCCCCCCAAGGTGGATAGTTATTAGTTGGCCATTTGACATCCAAAATGCTTGGATTTGAGCCCTCAATAAGTTGAAAGGCAGTTACCAGGAACTCCCTGCAAGCTACCTGGTGGGCAACATAGGCTCAACATGAAATTTGTGAGAGCTTTGCCAACAACAACATACACTTATATAGTGCCCTCTGCGCAGAGTAGCGTCTCAGAGCGCTTAGATATTGCTGCCATCATATTCCTCCCCACAACTTGACAAACATCCCTTCCATTGAGCAGCGTCTCTACCTGTTTGCGATGCGGAGCTTGATATACCAGCAGCATGAGAGAGTACATACAGGGCGACACTATAGTTATTGTTTTGGGGTTCATAAAATGAGATCCGTTATTATAAGCAAGCATGTGCCCTGGTGAAATGCCTTATATCTGGGTCAACCTCCTTCAGGGACAGCAGTTTCCTCCAGCCATGGTCTTTGGGGAACCAAACGAGAAAACAAAGAAAATAGAACATGAGGAATCTCATCCCACCAACAGTAGCAAAATTTCTTGATGTGTATAAACCCTAATCTTGGGATAACTGAACCTAAGACAATTCAAATCCTAGAAATATAAATTTCACAACTTTGTTTTTACTTAACATAAGAAGAACGGTTGGTTCCTCAATCCCCAACTATTTGTGGGACACTGCTGTGTTCAATTGGCTGCTGCATTTCGCCCACAAAATAGTCAATATATTTACAATATATTCTGTGAAAAGTTTGAGACGTCTCAACCACGTGATAAGGCGCTATATCAAATGCAAGAATTATTATTATTAAGAAGAGTTCTGATGTTTTAGTGAGTTAAGTCAGGGCGTCACTTCACTTTTGGTAATACTCAATGTCGCTGAATGATACAGAACAGAAACATGAAGGTTTGAATCCTGCAATTTTATTGAATTAGTCAATCTCAGCTGGGATAATAGTCACAGTTACAATGGGCTCAGAAAACCTGAGAAGGAGGGAAAAATCAGTCGGGGTTACTGGTCCTGATTGCTATCCTCCTTCAAAGTGAATGTGTGGGACCAGATCCTGGCTGAGCTGTGGATATCAGACAATGTTGCGGGACTGTTAAAGGCTTGTGATAATGCTTAATATCTCTTAATATAGAATGATGCTCGATTAAAACCTTTCAAATACATCCTTTACATTTCGGCCATTTAACATCCAACAGCTGTGGTTTCCAAAGTACCAGAAAATATTTTTGCAGCCAAAAGGGCAAAGAATTAAAATTCCAACTTGATGCAGCTCACCTGAAGGACAGGGATAAGGAAGGCCAGAGTTTTCCCGCTGCCAGTTGGTGCAGACACACAGATGTCACTTGGCCTGTAGCCCCCGCGCCCCAACATGAGCCCATGCTTTGCACTCTCCAGCACCATGGGGATGACCTCAGCCTGAACTGCAAGATACAATTAAACCAAAAATACATTACAAGTGATATTTTACAAAAGAAATGGGTGTGAAGTTCAGTTTGCACTGACCGTGCACAACCATTGGCCAGAATGCAGGGTGGCAGTGCTTGTGGAGAGAACAGCAAGTGATCTCCTCTTCGACACCAATCACTTTCTGAAGCAAGTTTGTGGCCTTCACTCTGTGCATTCCCACAGCAACAGATACCGAGACCTCAAGTGTGAGGACAATATCCCCTGGTATCTGTAACCTAGTATTTTTACGAGCTAAACAGAAGAGTTGGAGAGACTGATGCATACAGATGAATACGCCCATGTCTAATCAATAAGTGTTTTATAGGGGTCTTCACATGGATAATGCTTTGGAGCACTTCACAGATTCTTCCTCTGATGACATGTGGAGTTTACCTGCTGCTTTGCCCACCTTTTCATCCTCTCCTCCAATTCCAAATGCGAAGAGATTGACTTTCTCACAGTCCCAAATCGAACAGATACACAACTGCTGCCTCTACCACCCCCTCATACCCTCCTGATCTGGCCAGTCCCTTTGCCCAGGATACACCAGCTTGTTTCATGTCCCGACAACATTACCCTCAGAGGAAGGGCCTTCAGGCATTCTGTTCTCACTCTCTGGAACTTCATCCTGGAGTCCCTCTGACTTGCTTCCTTCCTCACCTCGTTCAAATTCCATCTCATGATCTACCTCTACCTCAGTTCCCACCCCCAGCTCAGGTGCCAAGTCAGTATTATTAATCACCTTGGGATGTCCTCTCAACACTCAAGGCACTATATAAATGTCAAATTGTATTATACTGATGCAGATGAGAACAGGGGAAACAGAGTTTTGTATCAGCTGGAGCTTATGGATAGATGAACTAGTGAGACAGACTAGTTTGACAAGTTTGGTTGGGATGTAACAAAGGCCTGGATAAGCAGCATTTGGTATGAGATGGGGCAGAGATGGGCAACGAAACCTTGGAGAAGGTGAAGAAAAGTGATCTTAAGATTGAATGTGAGGAAGGGTAGAAGCACTTTCATTTCTGTCCTCTGTACTAGTCAATTAATTAACAACACAAATTATGCCTTCAATACAGTCTTATGCAGGTATAACAACGACAGTGAGATCAAGACATAGGGCAACACCCTCAGTGCACAGCTGACAGTCACTATATCAGGGAACCATACCAGGGAAGAAGAAGTGGATGCCATTGCCCTGCAGCTTCCGAAGTAGTTTGGGATGGATTCCAGGCACAGCCTCAATCGGTGTCAAATGCTGTTTGATGTCTCTGTTGACCAGCATGGGGTTGGAGAGCCACTGGGGCAGGGTCCGTTGCACCTGAGGAGAGACAGCATTGAAGTGCAATAAATAATATAATAATAATCCTTGCATTTGATATAGCGCTTTTCACATCTTCTCGACGTCTCAAAGCGCTTCACAGAATAGACTGTAAAGTGAATTGTCTGTATATTTGTGGGTGAAACGCGGCAGCCAATTGTGCACAGCAATGTCCCACAAACAGCCGTGGATTGAAAATAACCGATTTATTATTGTTTTGTTTTGGAGGGATTATTATTAGGTGTGTGGAGTAAGGAAACTTGCCCAAGGTTTCCCTGCCTGGAATTGAACCCAGGTCTCTCACTTGGAAGGCAAGTGCTCTAACCACTGAACTACAGGACTCCACAATAACCAAGAAGTCCTGAGTTAAACAGTGTTTATTCCATCAATGCCAACACCAGGTGCAGTGACAGAGAAACATCATTAACTGATGACCACAAACTCATCAAATTACTCTCACTATTGTAGCAATTTACACAGATGGCTACGGGAAAGGAAAATGCTACTGTTTCACCAACCCAGAATCACCAGCTTCATATTTAATCCATAACACTGACCTTTTCAAACATTGTTCCAGGATATTTAAATAAGATTTGAATGTGATTGCAGCAGTCATTCTGTATTTTCCTTACCCCCTCCTCCATGTCAAACTCAGGCTGTTGTGTGTTCTATGAGGAGTTCTATGACCAGCATCCAGCCATGTGGCGATGCGATTCTGTGTATGTGAAGTAACAATTAATGGGGGGATGGAAATGAAGATGATTGGAGAGAAGACGGTCTCCCTCGCAATACCAACAGACCATTCACCAGACCATACTTTATCCAGTTATCTATTCCCATTTGTCAGCCTAGATCAACTGTTAGTCTTTGAGTCAGAAGGTAGTGTTTTTGGGGGGTTAGCTGGATGTCTGACACATGGGGAAACCCATCATCGTGTTTATCCTCAAGGTTTGATTACAGGAACTCCCTCATCGGCCTTCCCAACTCTTCCCTTCACAAACTGCAGATCATCCAAAACTCTGCAGCTCGTGTACTCTCACGCACCAGACTCCGTGACCCCATCACTCCCACCCTCACCCGACTCCACTGGCTCCCCATCCCCCAGAGGATCGAGTTCAAGATCCTCGTCCTCACCTTTAAGGCCATCCATGTCCTTGCCCCCTCCTACTCTCTGATCTGCTGACTCCCTACCAACCTGCCCGCTCCCTCCATTCAGTGGGCTCCGGCTGCTCCATGTCTCCCGCCCGACCCACCCTACCGTCTGTGGCCGGGCTTTCAGCCTCTCTGCCCCCACACTCTGGTACTCCATCCCACGGTCCCTTGGCCTCGCTTCCTCCCTCGCCTCCTTCAAGGCCGGTCTCAAGATCCTTCTCTTTGACCGTGCCTTTGGTCTCCCTCCCACCTCTCTGCCTTCCCTCACCACTACACCACCCCTCCCCAATGCTCAGCCCCCGACACCTGACTGTTCAGCGCTTTGGGACGTCCTCCCGACCTGAAAGGTGCTCTATAAATGTCATTTTGTTGTTGTTGTTATCCAAATCAAATCGCACTCCGTGCATCACTGCTTGATGTGGAAATCCCAGAGATAGTTATTGGAATGGAATGCGTATCTTGCTTCCCTAATTCCACAGAGTATTAGGTGATGGTTGGCAACTGAGACAAACTTTACCAACTGATAAAAGTTCTTAAGATTTCTGTACCGTCAAACTTGGGATGTTTCAGCACAAAATACTTCCACTGGGTATCAACACCAAGCACTCCTAGATCAAGTACTGCCAAGGTTGGATCCCCCAAAAACCTTAATCTACTTCTTTCCCTCCTTTACCATCTCTTCAGTCAAGCATTTGCTGCCATATTGTTCTATTACCAGCGTGTGAATGGGGACTCCATGGCCAGGGAAGCGAGTGCTCTGAGATACTGAGGTAGCCCAAACACAAGTCTTGCCTCCCAGGTGCCAATTGCGCACTGCTGTCCGCAATTGGCTGCCGCGTTTCGCCCACAAATATACAGTCAATTCACTTTACAGCATATTCTGTGAAGCGCTTTCAGACGTCGAGAAGACGTGAAAAGCGCTATATCAAATGCAAGGATTATTATTATTAAGTCAGGGTGCAGAGAATTTGGGAGGAGGGAGAACATACAGCAGTCGTGGTTCATGTGGGAACCAATGATACGGAAAGGAGTAGGTTACAGGTTGTGCAGAAGGAGTTTCAGGAATGAGGAGATAGATTGAGGGCACAGGACCTCAAGGTTACAATCTCAAGATTATTCTCTGTCCCATATACTGGGAGAAAAGTATGTCAAGCGTCCCAGGAAAGGGGTCAAAGGTTGGAAAGATAAACAAAGATGTCAGGGAGCAAAGAGGGCATGGATCAAGAGAGGGAAGAACTGTAAAGAAACCCACAAGATCAGAGACAGATTTGAGGGTGGGAGAGGAAATGCAAGATAATAATAATAATAATCCTTGCATTTGATATAGTGCTTTTCACGTCTGGAGGACGTCCCAAAGCGCTTCACAGAACACACTGTAAAGTGAATTGACTGTATATTTGTTGGCGAACGCGGCAGCCAATTGCACACAGCAATGTCCCACAAACAGTCGTTGATTGAAAATGACCAATTTTTTTATCATTGTTTTTGGTTTTGGAGGGATTATTATTAGGCTCTGTATGGAGTAAGGAAACTTGCCCAAGGTTTCGCCTGGAATTGAACTCAGGTCTCTCGCTTGCAAAGCGAGTGCCCTAACCACTGAGCTACAGGACTCCACGAATCAGCGACAAATAAGGTAAATAAAGAGAAAACAATGGAGAAAAGTAAAAGAGAAGAAATAAAGTACTGCAGGCCAACTTAAAGCGGTTATAAATTAATGCACTAATGTGTTAGAAACTTTTGTTGGGTTGGGGAATATGATTAGGGCTTCTGTTTCTTGGTGTTTATTAATTTCATTTTTCTGAGTTTATTTTTAGCAATTTGAGTGTTCATAAATCAGGGGGTTCTGGGATATTCGTTACTGTAATGTAATACTGTAATGTAATGAGAAGCTACTGTTGTGCACAGAGAGGAGAGGCACTCTCACACACACGTCATGTCTGCCTCCTCACCAGACCTGTTAGTGCCAAGGAGGAGATGGAGAGGGACAGTAACAACAACAACAACAAAATGACACTTATAGAGCGCCTTTCACGTCGGGAGGTCGTCCCAAGGCGCTGGACAATCAGGGATTAGGACCCGAGCATGGGAGAGGGGTGGTGTAGGGGTGAGGGAAGGCAGAGAGGTGGGAGGGCGACCGAAGGCACGATAGAAGAGAAGGGTCTTGAGACCGGCCTTGAAGGAGGCGAGGGAGGAAGCGAGGGGAAGGGACCGTGGGATGGAGTTCCAGAGTGTGGGGGCAGAGAGGCTGAAAGCCCGGCCTCCGATGGTAGGGCGGGAGACATGGAGCAGCCGGAGCCTGATGAACGGAGGGAGCGGGCAGGTTGGGAGGGAGTCAGCAGGTCAGAGAGGTAGGAGAGGGCAAGGCCATGGATACCAGGGCCCTGCCAACAGAGAGAAAGAAAACGTCATCTTAGAGTTGTGTAACCATTTCTGGTGTTTTTCTGGTGTTTACTGGTGTCTATGGCTGACAGTCACCAGTTTATACAGCACAGGAGGAGGCCATTAGGCCCCATCGTGTCTGTGTTGGCTCTTTGAAAAGAGCTTCCAAATCAACCCCACTCCCCCGCGTTCTCCCCATAGCCCTGATCAACCCCACTCCCCCGGTCTCTCTCCATAGCCCTGATCAACCCCACTTCCCTGCGCTCTCCCCATAGCCCTGATCAACCCCACTCCCCCGCTCTCTCCCCATAGCCCTGCAAACTTGTCCCCAAATAATTATCTACTTATCTCTTAAAAGCTGTTATTGAATCGGTTCCCACCGGCCTTTCAGGCAATGCATTCCAGATCCCAACAACTCGCTGTGTGAAAACATTTCTCCTCCCCTCCCCTCTGTTTCTTTAACAACTATTTTAAATCGGTGTCCTGGGGTTACCGACTCACCCGCCAGTGGGAATAGTTTCTCCTGTTCACCCTATCGAATCCCCTCATCATTTTGAAAACTTCTATTAAGTCTCCTCTTAACTTCTCTGCTCCAAGGAAAATAATCCTCACTTCTCTGCCTCTCCTGATAACTGAAGCCCCTCATTCCTGGTACCATTCTGGTCAATCTCCTCTGCACTCTCTCCAATGCCTTGACATCCTTCCTAAAGTGTGGGGCCCAGAACTGAACACGGTCTCTACCTGAGGCCTAACCAGTGTTTCATATAAAGATTCATCACAACTTCCTGACTTGTGTATCCTATGCCCCTATTTATAAAGCGTTGGATCAACTTAATGAGTTTCTTCAAAGAAGAACTGAAAATGTAGATCAAGGCAATACTTTGGATTTCCAAAAGGCATTTGATAAGGTGCTGCACAGAAGATAGGGCCGTCAGTTACTTCTACCATCCTGGTAGTGGCATGCTACAATAATCATGGAGATATTGACTATTCATGGCAATTAATCTATCAATTAGTCTAAACAAACTCAGGCATGAGGTGAGGAAAACCTGCTCTGTAGATTTCTATGCCAGCATCATCGTCAGAGTAGAAACATGGAAATCTGCACAATACTAGTTTGGTGGCTGTTCAATGATGTACGCTGAAAAGGTAAAACACCAACTACAATGCAACAATTATTACAGGTACGTTAAACAGTGCTAACCTTTTGGATAGGTTTCTTCTTGAAACCACCTAGAATAGTCAGACTGGGTTGGGGAGCTGAATTCTCTTCACTCTGATGCACATTGGCAGCACTTTTTTGCTGGTGCTCAGGATCTGCCATCTCTCCGTTCTTTTTAGGTGAATCTGTTTGCTTCACAGCTGTATCTGTCAAATCTGATTCAGTTCCAGGGTCCAGCGTTTTATCTACAGATTCTGTGGAACAATTTTCAAGGTTTTAATTTTCATTCTTCAGAGGATACGCATCAAAGGGCACCTTATAAAGGAGAATATAGGATTGAAAACGTAAACCCAGAACAATACGTTATAATAATAACAACAATAATCCTTGCATTTGATATCACGCCACATCATGTCTTCGAGACAACTCAAAGTGCTTCACAGAATATACTGTAAAGTGAAACAACACAAAATACTGCAGATGCATTCTGACGAAGGGTCGTGGACCTGAAATGTTGACTCACTTTCCTTTCTCCATAGATGCTGCCTGACCTGCTGAGTGTTCCCAGCTACCTCTACTGTAAAGTGAATTGACTGTATATTTTGTGGGCAAAACGCAGCAGCCAATTGCGCACAGCAGCGTCCCACAAACAGTTGTGGATTGAGTGACCAAATTATTATTATTTTGAAGGAATTATTATCCCTGGAAAAGTGATTCGCCAATCAACTAACAACCGGGTTCCTACTTACTGCTGGGTAAACAGAGGCGTGTGGAGTAAGGAAACTTGGCCAACATTTCACTCTGCCGGGAATCGCTTGCAAGGTGAGTGCTCTAACCACTGAGCTGCAGGACTCCACATTATGATTCATCAAAGCAGTAGAACAAGATGACATATGTTTAGAGTTGAAAAGGGCAGTTTCAGGAGATATCAGAAAGTTTCTCTTTACTCAACAAGTGTAAACAACAATAATAATATAATAATAACATAAATAATAATAATATTAAAATAATAAAACAACAAAATTACATGGGTAAAGCACCTTTCACGTTGGGAGGATGTCACAAGGCGTTGAACAGACCGCTTCGGACCTGAGCTGGGGGTCGGAGTCGGGGAGGATGGAGGGCAGGTGGGGAGAAGCAGGGAGATCGAAAGCACGATTGAAGAGGAGGATCTTGAGATGAGTCTCGAAGGAGGCAAGGGAGGGAGTGAGGCGGGGGGTCTGCCACTTGACCCCTCCCTCTAAACAACTGGAATAGGTTGATAGGAAGGGTGAAAGCTCTGTCGCCAGGTACTCACCCGCACGAAACTCCGTCCTCCCATCACACCAGCCCTTGCCAGGCTTCCAGCGCCTTGGGACGTCCTCCCGACGTGAAAGGCGCTCTATAAATGGAATCTTGTTGTTGTTGTTGTTCACCGGCTTCCAATCGCTGAAAGGATCGATTTCAAGATCCTCTCACTCATTTTTAAATCCCTTCATGCCCTCGCTGCTCCCTACCTGTCTGGCCCCACCGCCTCCACCACCCGCTGCCTCCAGCCTCCTGTTTGTCCCCCTTCAACAACTACGCCCTGAAACTTTGGAACTTTTTGATAGTGCTTATGGTCACCTCTCCACTGTCTCTCTCCGTGGCTCGGGATCAGACTCCGCCGCTGTCAAGTGCTGCGGACACTACCCTGTGTGAAGGGCGCTGTGTAAATGCGAGTTGTTGTTGTTGCTTTGATACCCCCATTTGCACCGTTATTCATACCTTTCTCCTTTTCTCTCTTTTTCCTTTCCTTTCCGACACTCATCCTCTTTTTTGCGGAGAGCAATTCCTTCTTCACGTTGTCCTGTTCGGCAGTCGAGCGAGGCGGGGGATGTGAAGCAGGCCGGAGCCCGCTGAGAGGAGGGAGTGAGCAGGATGGTAAAGGTTTAGGAGGTGGCAGAGGCAGGGGGGAGCGAGGCCATGGAGGGCTTTGAAGGTGAGGACCAGAATCTTGAACTGTATCCTCTGTGTGATGGAATGTCCCACAAACAGCTATGAACAGCTATGAAGTGAACAACCAATTTTATTTGGGGGATTGCTGGCCAAAGAACTGTGGAGTCCTGTATCTCAGTGGTTAGAGCATTTGCTTAGCGAGCAAAAGGACCTGGGTTCAATTCCCGGGCAGGGAGAAACATTGGGCAAATTTTCTTACTTTACACGCCTTTGTTTACCTAGCAGCAAGTAAGAACCTGGTTGTTAGTAGATTGGTGGATCTCTTTTCCAGGGGTAATAATCCTTTCAAAAAATAATAAAAAAATTATAATTTTGGTCATTCAATCCATGATCGTTTGTGGGACGCTGCTGTGCACAATTGGCTGCCACATTTTGCCCATAAAATATGCAGTCAATTCACTTCACAGTATATTCTGTGAAACACTTTGAGACATCTCAAAGATGTGATAAGATGATATAGCAAATACAAGGATTATTATTATTATACCTGTGGATGTTCCTCTTCGACCAGGCCTTTGGTCACCTACCCTGTTTCCAACTTGGTGTCAAACTACACCAATGTTAGGCACTCTCCCGAAATGAAAAGTGCTATATAAGTGCAATTTGTTGTTGTTGTTCAAGATCCTGGTCCTCACCTTCAAAGCCCTTCATGGTCTTGCTCCCCCCTACCTCTGTGACCTTCTAACCCCCTACCATCCCGCTCCCTCCCTCCGCTCAGCGGGCTCCAGCCTGCTTCATGTGTCCCTCCTCGCTTGCCCCACTATTGGCGGGTGGGCCTTCTGCCACTCTGCCCCCACCCACTGGAACTCCATCCTGCAGTCCCTCCGCCTTCAAGATCCACCTCAAGATCCTCCCCTTTGACCGTGCTTTCGATCTCCCTGTCTCCCCACTGCCCTCCACCCTCCCCGACCCCGACTCTCAGCTTGGGTCCGAAACTCTGTCTGTCCAGCACCTTGGGACGTCCTTCCAACATGAAAGGTGCTTCACAAATGTAATTTTGTTGTTGTTATTTGTTGTTCTGAAATGCTACTTGTGTGCAGGGCAATATATAAATGTATATTATTGTTGTTTTGTACCTTTGATTCATCTGCAAATTTTTGAGATTTCTCCCTCTATTCCTAAATCCACATCATTTATTTATTGTGTGGTAATTACTGTTGTAATAACTGTGCGGTAAAACATAAAGACAGAATGTTCAAAATTATTGCAACATAACACATTATTGCCACATTTATATTATAGAACACAATTAAGGTGTGAAGTTGGAACCTAATCTAAGGGTTTGAATTGTTTATACATAGAATAGTAAAAGTGGAGTCCTGTAGAATATTGAGTAGAGCACTCGCCTCCCAAGTGAGAGGACCCGGATTCGACTCCGGGCAGAGTGAAACTTTAGGCAAGTTTCCTTACTCCACACTCCTCTGTTTACCCAGCAATTAGTAGGAACCTGATTGTTAGTCAATTGGTGGATCACTTTTGTATTTCATATCTTTATTTCAATGATTCTTTCTTAATTGTCCTTTAGGAGTTAAAGTCCCTTCTTCAGGCCTTTTTTCTTTAATCTTCTATTAATCTTTCTGATCATCTAATCTGTCTTCCGGATCTTGTACATTTCTCTTTCCCCTGTCTTATTTTTCTTTTTCTCTTTTTTTGTTTGTCCTTCTCTTCATTCATTACTCTTTTTCTTAGCTCTCAAGACATTCTTCAGTATTAGTTTCCTTTGTCTTCTATCCAATAGGATCCTAGGTGTTTATGGAATTTTCCATTTTTCTCCACCTTTATGTCTCAATATTCTTTCTGAACCATACTTTCTTGTTTATTTCAAAACTCTTTTCCTTCTCCCTTTTGTGTCTTTTCTATTCCCTCTTTACAGCTGTAGTTTTAGTCAGTACTGCGAGATAATCCTTTTCTTTGCAGTTGAACAAATCTATTCCTATTTGTTCGGCCTTGGTGCATTTTCGTGTGCCATATGATCGGTTTATGCTTCTCCTGGTTTTGATGTCGGGCACATGTGTCATGTTTGCTAATTTATTCCATGTGTGTGTTGATGCTGGACTAAAACTCTACCTCTCTTGCTCTTTGCTTGGCTCTCTCCATCCCCAGTGTCATGGGGAAAATGATGAGTTAGAATTCAAATTTCAAAGCTAGAATAAAATTCTATTTTATGTTCTTCATAAACATCATTCTCAATTCCTATGGTTTTATTATTATTATCTCCCTTCTATATAATCATGCCTTCTTGTTGGTATAATTCAAGTCTATATTGCCATTATGGTCTAACTTCTTCTGCTGTGTCCTTCTTGTTTTCAGGCTATCCATTTTGCACCATGTTATTAATGGCAGCACTTACTCCATCTCCTCTGGTGACTTCCTTTATTGTGTTTGTTTTGCTATCCCCCACATATTATACTCCATTTTCTTTATTAATCTTTTGTCTTCTTCATTGCCTTCTTGACACGCTGCTCGACTCTGCAAACCACTCTCCACCTACATACCACTCAGAACCAGAGAACAGGCTCAGGCAATGGCATGCTCACTCACTGCGTGCTCAGACAGCGTGTAAACCTTACAGAGTACATTAGGTGTGCCACTTGGTAGTCACACAGCATTCTGAAGTGAGACAGTTAATAAAAGCAGGGGAGAGGTAGAAAGCATTTAAAGTAAAGTAAAGTAAACAAAGTAGAATACTGGCGTTAATGTTAACAATGACTTACAAGAACAAGACTTTGGGATGTGGTTAAGCAGCAGGGATTGTGGGAATGGGACTGTGGAGTCCCCTAACATAGTGATTAGCACGCTAGGGGACTTCTTACACTTCATCTCCACAAACGGTTTCTCCTCTAGCCCCTGGACCATCTCGTGCGGTGTTCCTCAGGGGTCTGTCCGTGGCCTTCTCCTCTTCAGTATCTATATGCTCCCTCTTGGTGACCATCATCCGCAGACATGGGGTCAACTTCCACATGTAGTCATACTTGACCAACTTCGTTGAATTCTTTGAAGGGGTAGCAGAAAGAGGAGACAAGGGGAATGCAGTAGATGTAATATATTTAGATTTCCAAAATGAATTCGATAAAGTACCACATAATAGAGTAAGTTTAGAGCATGTGGAGTCCGGGGAAACATAGCAGAATGGATAGCAAGCTGGCGACAAAATAGAAAACAGAGAGTAGGGTAAAGGGCAGCTACTCAGACTGGCAGGGGGTGGGCAATGGTGTTCCACAAGGATCGGTATTGGGACCCACATTGTTGTTCACAATATACATCAATGATTTGGTCTCTGGGATCAGTTGTAGAATTTCAAAATTTGCGGATGACACCAAATTGGGGGAATAGTTAATACAGAGGAGGACGACAACAAATTACAGCAAGACATTAATAAACTTGCTGAGTGGGCATTTAAATGGCAAATGCATTTCAATGTAGAAGAGTGTGAGGTGGTACATTTTGGTAGAAGGAATAAGGAAGTCACATATATCCTGGAAAATAAAAACCTAAATGGGGTAGAGGAGCAAAGGGATCCAGGGGTACGCATACACAATTCACTAAAAGTAGCAACGCAGGTTAATAAGGCCATAAAAAAGGCAAACCAGGCATTGGGTTCATTTCTAGAGGGATAGAAATGAAAAGCAGGGAAGTTCTGGTAAACTCTATAGAACCTTGGTTAGACCACACTTAGATACTGTGTGCAGATCTGGTCCACATGTAGAGACCCTGGAGAGGGTGCAAAGGAGATTCTCAAGAGATGATCCCAGAACTGAGAGGTTATACCTATCAGGAAGGACTGAACATACTTTTTCTCTTGAAAACAGGAGGGTAAGGGTTGACCTGATAGAGGTCTTTAAAATGAGGAAAGGTTTGGATTGGGTAGACATAGGGAAGATGTTTTCACTTGTGTGAGACCAAAACCAGAGGCCATCAATATAAAATAGTCCTAAATAGATCAAATAGGGAAGTTAGAAGACATTTCTTCACACAGAAAGCAGTGGGAATGTGGAACATGCTACTGCAAGGAGTAGTTGAGGCAAATAGCAAAGATGTATTTAAGGGAAGCTGGAGAGGTACACGAGGGAGAAAGGAATAGAAAGTTTTGCTCGAGGCTTAGTTGAGGAAGGGCAGGAGGAGGCTCATGTGGAGCATAAACACCGGCGTAGACCAGTTGGGCTGAATGGCCTGTTTCTGGGCTGTATATTCTAATGTATTCTAAAGTATATTTTAATGTATGCGGATGACACCCAACTCTTTCTCAGCCCCCATCCTTGACTCCAGGCCCCACTGCTGTCCTGACAGAATGTCTGTCAGACGTCAAGTCCTGGATGAGAGCGAACTTTCTTCAGTTGAACGTCAACAAGACCGAGGCTCCTGATTGTCTCCCGTCAGCGCCTCCTCACCTCAGGCGCTGACAGCATCACCATCCATGGCTGCTCACTGCACCTTGCTAAGTCAGTCCGGAACCTTGGGGTCTTGACCCTTAACTGTCCTTTCTACCCCACATCTGTGCCATGATCCGCTCTGCCTTCCCCACCTCCATAATATCCGCTCTGCCTTCCCCACCTCCACCACTGTCTCACGCCGCAGGCCGCAAAACCCTCATACTTTGTTACATCGCGGCTTTACTATGCAAATTCCCTGCTTGTCGGCCTCCCCAACTCCTCCCTCCATAAACTGCAGATCATCCAGATCTCTGCAGCCCATGTCCTCTCCTGCACCAGGCTCCATGACCCTATCACCCCCATCCTCGCCCAACTCCACTGGCTTCCCATCACACAGAGGATACAGTTCAAGATCCTGGTCCTCACCATCAAAGCCCACCATGGTTTTGCTGCCCCCTAGTTCTGTGACCTCCTAACCCCCTACCACCCTGCTCACTCCCTCTGCTCAGCGGGCTCCGGCCTGCTTCACATTCTCCCACCTCGCTCACCCCACTGTTGGCAGGTGGGCCTTCTGACACTCTGCCCCCACCCTCTGGAACTCCATCCCGCAGTCCCTCCACCTCGCCCCCTCCCTTGTCACCTTCAAAACCCATCTCAAGACCCTCCTCTTCGATTGTGCTTTCGATCATTCTGCTTCCCCCCCTGCCCCGATCCCGACCCCCGGAAATTCTCTCTGTTCAGCACCTTGAGACATCCTCCCAACCTGAAAGGCGCTTTACAAATGTAATTTTGTTGTTGTTGTTGTAGTATGCTCGCCTCACAAGTGAGGAGACCCGTGTTCGATTCCCAGGCAGGGGATGTTGGATACTCCTAGAATAAATTGACAATGAACAAAAGGGGCAATAAGAAGAAGGGCAGGAAGTACAGAAGGCACTGGGAGTGGGTCACAGTATGGATTAGAGTGGATTAATAAAGTGGATTATTGAGAGTTTGGATTGACAAATAAAAAAGCTGCTAACACAGCCTTGATTTGCATTGACTTATATTACAAGGTGTCAAGAGTGAACTGAATTTGGACTGAATTGGACCACGAGATTGGAAGCCGAATTAAAGAAACAACATGCAGACTGGAACAAAAGAATATGAGGCCACAGTGAGGTGCAAATACCAAGGCCATTGAAGTTAAGTGGCAACCTGAGGCATAATTGGAACCGGTTTGAATGGTATTTGCCTTAGCCAGCAATATGCTGCAGCTGCCAAGAAAACATGATAAGGCGCTATATCAAATGCAAGGATTATTATTATTATTATTATTATTATTATTATTATTATTATATAAACAGCAAGATAACAGCAAGCTGCTATTATTCTAAATGCAGCAGGGGGAGATTCTAGAAAATACTCTGAGACCCTGGAAAGGGCTATAGACATGGCTTTAGATTATATAATGAATATTATGAGAGAAAGGTGTTATGGACAGAACAATATAATCGTTGACAGGTATAAGTTTAGCACAAGAAAACAAGGGCCTGCGGAACCATGTGCCCAATATTTTGCTGAATTATGGTCACTCAGCAAAACATCCAAAATGGGGCCCTGAAGGAGAAATGATTAAAGATCAAATTGTGATCGGGATTAAAGACGGCATAATAAGGAGCAAGCTTCTGAAACAGGAAGACTTGAATTTACAGCAAGCGGGACAAATAATAAACATAGAAGAAATGCTTGTAGCTCATAGGAAAGAGTTTGGGGAATGGGGAACTAGAGATGGAAATAGATAAACTGGCTGGGGAAGGAGCTGGAATAACACAGATGAAGAATACGGAGCACAGCCAGTATACAGACCTAGAGAAAGATATATAACAAGAAGACACGTGAGCAATGTGGACAAGAACACCCTTCCATCCCTCTCTCTCACTGAAAATCCTCCTGGTCTACTGCCCCCTAAGCCCCCCGGCTCCTTCTTTTCTGACATCTCTACTCTCCTCTCTTCCCTGTCCCTCTGCTCCGAGCGCCTGCTCATAATGGACAATTTCAACCTCCACCTAAACTCCCCTTGCACCAATTCTTCTGACTTCACTGCCCTCCTCTCCTCCCTAAACCTCACCCTTCACATCAATTCACAGACCCACAACCTCATCATCACCCATGGCCTTGACATTTCCGACCTGAGCATAGTGGACAAGGCCATCTCGGACCACTTCCTCATCTCCTTCTCCTCCCACATTCCTCTCTCCAAGCCGTCAACCATACTCTACTGCCCGTGGAAAAGACTCCCCCCTGAGACCCTCACAAAGGCCCTCACATCCTCAAATATCCTATCCTTCTGGCCTTCTACCCGCAGAGATCCTGAAGCAGCTGTCCAGCTGCTCCATGATCGCCTCTCCTTCACCTTCAACTCTCTTATCCGCATGAAATCAAGGACCATCTCAAACCCACCCGATCCCCCTGGCACAACAACCAGCTTCGCTCCCTAAAAACTCAAACCGGCTGCTCAAGCGCAGATAAATAAATAAATAATCCTTGCATTTGATACAGCGCTTTTCACCAAAAGT